TTGCAAAAATGACATTTCGAATAAATTGCAATTGAAGTATTTAAATATTAATTTTAAAAAAAAAAAAATTAAAAGGCGAAAACGAACTTGTGTCAAAAGAGGAGTAAAAAGAGGAGTGAGAAGAGCAGTAAATCAATTTTGAAAATATAAAACAATTCTTTAAGCCACCATAGCTCTATTGTATATATAATAACTCATTTTTGCAAAAATGTTGGATAGGCCACTAATGTGATGAGCGCCTCAATTATATGGAAACTATGAATATTAAAATAATTACATTTTAAAACTATGAGAGAATTTGGTTTCAAAAATTCAAATTTCAAAGAAAATTAACAAAAAACAAAGATTTAATGCAATAATTGAAAATGAGAAAATTTATATTTGTATGTATGAGTGTATTTTCTTTGCTGCAAATAAAATTTTTTCTTTTAGTTATAATTGAATTTCTTGCAGGTAAAAAAATACATTATAAGTTTAAGAAATTCTCGAATATTGTTTGTTGATATAGAAAATCTCACCTTGTATATTCATGCATACATACACACATGTATTGATTGTGTGAGTTATAATGTTAACATGCAATGGCTCTGTCAAAATTTAACTATGCATATTTTATTTTGAATTTAACTTAATATATAAATGAGAAAATATTATTTATATAATTAATTTTTAACTTATATTTCCCATCATAATGGAAATGGGATTTAATACTCCCGGTATATAATGCATAAGAAAACTGAAGATTGAGAAAGATTGAAAAAATATTATAGAATAATTTGGTAAAATTTAGAACAATATGTTTCTAGAGCTTACTGTGTGAAAAATTCTAAAACACAATCTAATCCAATTTATTTATAATTTATTGAGTAAAATGCAGGATATAGTTATGTTTTTAATTGCCACCAAATTAATTTTTATTAATTTTAATGGGGAACCACAATAATGTACGAACTTGGTACAAAATTTTTTAGTGACCAATGTAATTTTGTTGGTTTTCAAATCCATAAAGGAATAAATTTTAAATTTTGTCCCTTATCAGTATAGGATTTATGATTTCTTATAAAGTTTTTTTCTCAGATTTTATTAACATAGTCTATCTCTATTTGCGTTACCTTTATTTTCAATTCAAAATCAATAGGATTTAAAAGAAAGTTTAATAAATTCCAAGCTCTTTATAAAAAATTTATATGCCCTGAATGAAGCATTGAAATCAAATGCGATCAACTTGAAATTTGGTTAAATTCATATCATAATATTGGAAACCTCTTTCCTCATTTTATTAAAAAAAGGCATTACAAATAAAATATACAAATATCAACTAACAAGATTTTTTTACCTGTATACACATTATAATTTCAAAATGACCCAAAAGAATAATAACAATCCCTTTATTTTTATATATTTCTGAAAATAAGTTTTTATTAATCAATGCTTATTGGAATTTTTATATTTTAAATTGCATAACAATAGGATACTTATCAAAATCTCATCAAGAATACAAAATTCTATTCAGTATACTAGTAACTGAAAAAAGAATTCGAAATTCGATTCAGCGCTGCGTTTAACGGGCGGAAATTTCTCGATTGTCTATATAAAATTAGTCATTAGGAAAAAAAATAAAGAATCCTATGCTATATGCATCAAAGAGTGGCCATTGATAGCCGAGTGCAAAATGTAAATCGGGCTTAAATGAGTGTAACGAAATGATCAGAGAAAAAAATAAACACTATGAAAAATTAGCACTAATAAATTGCAACAATGAACTTTTGCAGTTTTACTTAACTTGAATGATTAAGAAAAAATCCAAATATGTATGTATATGAACAAAAATTAAGAAGGAGAGTAGATAAAGAAAAATTCCAAAAACAAAAGTAAAAAATACAAAACAACAACAAAGTCAAAAAAAATTAAAGTCTACGATGTCAATATACTTTCAGCTACTCTTTTTGTGTAGTTTATTTTTCATATACATATATGTACATATTTATAACCGAATATATATTAATGCACTAACTTTTATGCAGTTGTATATATACAAATAAACAAACGTACATACTATATATTTCGTAAACTTAAAATTTTATAGGCAGAGCCGTCGTCAAAATTGTCGCCGCCACACACATTCTTGGAATTTACTTTTATTTTTTGTACTCTTTTTTATTGTTTTTATTTTTTTTTATATAACTCTTTTTTTTTTCATTTTTTTAAATTTTGTGCAACAATTGACAAGTTCTTTTACAAAAATTATCGGCTACAATTTAAAAAATAATTTGAACTCATCGTTTTAATGTTGCACTTTCCAATAGTTCAGTTTGTATTTTGTAATGTAGCTTACGTAGGTTTGTAGCTTATGTAGGTTACGGCTTCTATCTAATAGCAGTTTTATGAAAAAGTTAAGAACAAAACAAAAGGATAAAAGGAACATTAATACATGTGTATGTATGTATGCATATATAATAGACGAATTAGGTGAGTTAAGAAAAATATTTAGATTTTCTTATATGGGAAAAGACATTTAAGGTGATTTGCCTGCCTTTGTAGAATTTGGAATGTTTTATGGATTACGTTTTATATTGTCTCTTGAAAACGTCAAGTTTTGATGTTACAATTTTGCACATTTCGACCGTAACGTCAGCGATTAATATGTTAAAATTTTCTTGGGAATTTACCTTTCCCCAGTAACGCATAATTTTAATCCAATGGTCGATATAACCAACAGATTTCACATACCCAAAAAAAAAAAGAGTAATTAAACGAGTCTTTTGTGCAATAATATGCACGAAAGACTCGTGTAAAATAACATTTTTCTTAATACAAAATCAGCGGTAAAATAAGTATAAAAGAAAGTCTTCAAAAAGATTTTCCTTTACTTACTTATTTATCCCAGAATTTTAATTTTTGTTATTCTTTTATATTTTTAATTTTTAATAAAGTTACTGGTTTGGACATCATATAGAATTTGAGAAAATATCTTTTAAAATAAAACGACCTTTAACGCAAAAGAAAAATAACAAAATCATTTTTCTTATTTTTTTTCTTTTTTCTTGAACTTCATGCAATCCGATGGAATCTGGTAAATCAACATTTTTTTTAAAATACAGTACGTATAAATGTATGTGTGTATAATGTAAGTAGGTACGTTAATATTTGTTTAAATGTACATATATACATAATATATACATACATATGTATGCCTACTTGTGCATTGTTTTTACAATAGAGTTTTCTTTTTAAGAATTTTATTTTTTCGGTTGCATGTAGCAAAACTAAAAATATGTACATACATATATGCATAACAGAATTGGTAAGCACTATTGTTACCAATTTAATATTTTAATGGTCATACCTACATATCTCATTATTTAGCAACAAAATTTTGATGTATCAAATTTCTCTTCTTAAATGTTTGATTTATTTACTCGCTTATATTCATGTATATGTTTGTATGTATAATTGAGCATTTTTTCAAATTGAAAACCATATTGATGCCATTGTAAAATTTATATTTAGCTATTTTTTTATATTTTCATTTATGTTATTACACCTGAATTTACACGTCATGCACATACATATGTTGTATATAAAAACTAAAATTAATAAAAAATTATATGAGATCTTGTTTTGCATATATTTAGGAGTTCGATTAAAAAAATTTTACCACTGAGATCTTATACATATAAAATTTTAATAACATGCAAAAAATGTAATTCAGTAAGTACATATGTATATGCTAAAACATACATTTTTTTTTATTATCAAATAATAGTATTGACTTCAACAAAATAAATATTTAAATTAAAGTATTTGTTTTTTTAGATGGGCTACAACTATGAATACCATATCCACAGAAAGCTTAAAACTTGCGGAATCTCTTTTTGGGAAAATTTCTAAATTTTTAAAAATTCAAATGTTTTATGCGAAAATGGTTACGGAACTAAAAGTGTTACGAAATTTATTGAATGCTTATTAAATAACCTAATGTGCAACCAAGTTAGAAAAGGTCACCCAACATATGTTAGGTATTATGTTAATATACACTATACCCTGGTATTATGTTAATATACCGCCATAGAAAATCTCCTGCATACATTTGTATAAGGATTTTCATTATATTCATATACATATACTTATATACATACATATGTATATGGACTCAATTTTATCATGATAAAAAAATGATCATTCCTTAGTTTTAAATTTTTATCAAAATAATCTCTTATTTAAGTAAGTATGTAATTAACGTGTTGTAATTAATTAACTTGTTGCAATTACCGTTAAAAGTGCAGAATTTTTGTGTGTCCTAATTCCTAAGGCAATGACTTTTCCAACACTTAAGCATAATTACAACAAACTTTTTTAACGTTATTAAAAAACGATATTACCTATAAAATTTTTCTCTTGTTAAAAAATTATTATAACGTTCCTTTGTTAGAAAATAAAATTTACATCTATTTGCTTAACTATATAAATAATAATACAAAAGTACTAAAAATATGATTTAATAATGTTTGTATTAATTTTCACTTTCATTTTGCTTGTAAATTCACTTCTAATTTAATATTAACAAGAAAAAAGTTCCCTGTTTCAAGCACTAATAAAACTAAATGTACATACATTTGTATGTACTTACATATGTACATACAAAAAATGTAATGTTAAAAAAATATAGAATCATTTTATGTAGAATGTAGATATATATATGTATGTACGTATAGCTATAAACATTTCAGTAAGAATCTACGCATAAATCTATACAATATGTATAATGTAATATGCCATATAATGTTGTGGAACAGCTATTAATTAATTATTATTCATATACCCATAGGTATATATATATATATACATTTGCACATGTATCTTAAAAAATAATTCTTAAATGTTTTTTATATGCATATGTAGATATACATAGTATGTGTATATGTATATTCGTACATACATAACTACATACATATATAAATAAATATACACATTGAGTTTTAAGCACGTCAACAATAATTGTCAATTGATAAGAAAAGAATATTTTTATTTTAAACAGAACGTCCAAAAAATTTCGTATTGGTGGAACATGATATTTCGAATGTGAAGTGCCTATTAATCGTTTAAAAATATTATACATATTTATACAATAAAAGATGATATTTTATCAATATAAAAATACATTTATAAAATTTTAATAAAAAGTTATCTAATTAGCAGATTTCCAAGATTGAATTATATGAAGCAAAAATAGAAAAATTGCATTTTGTTAAAATGAGTTTAGCGCGATTTCGTTTAATAACATTTGATGTTACCGATACTCTAATAAGATTACGTTCTGCACCTGGTAAACAATATGGAGAACTTGGAGCCTATTTTGGAATCCGGTGCGATACTGATGATTTGGCTATAAACTTTAAAAGTAATTGGTAATAAAATACAATTGCACACTTTTAATAATCGCTTGAAATCACAACCAATAAATCACAATATTATGTTTGTACTTACATATGTACATATGTACATACGTATGCATGTAAACATACTTACGCCTTTTTCACCACATTTTTTTATTTTAATATTAAATACTGTCACTTATTTAAGGATGATAATTTATTGAAATTCAAATACATATATAGCCAAAAATCGATTTTCATTTTAGGTCTAAAATGAACCGTGCACATCCCAATTTTGGCAGATATTCGAATCTTGGATGGCAAAATTGGTGGAGGGAGCTTGTTGCAAGTATGTATATTATAATTTATACAACACAAAACATTATTCTACTTTTTTTTGAAGAAACCTTTCGTGATAGTGGGTTGAAAACCTCGAACGATGATATGATAAAATTTTCTGATGAATTAATCGAATGGTATAAAACAAGCGCAGCATGGCAAGTTAAGTACGGTGCAACAGAATTTTTAAATTATTTAAAAATTCAACAGCAACTCAGAGCAAAGGGAAAAAACAATGAATTGCCACTTAAATTGGGCGTAATATCAAATTTTGACCCAAGATTAGATATATTACTGCGCAATATGAAAATTGATCATTTTTTTGATTTTATTATAAACTCTTACGATTGCCGATGTGAAAAACCTAATCCAGAGATCTTTCATATGGCAATGAAAACATCTGAACTACAGGACCTAAAACCAAATGAATGCCTTCATATAGGCGATACACCAATCACTGATTATTTAGGAGCTCGCAATTGCGGTTGGTTTGCTGCTTTAGTACATGAAAAAGATCCGGATTTTTTAATTAAAAAATATGGTGAAAAAATTATGTATTATCATTGTTTTTCCAGTCTGTTTGATTTACATAAAAAAATGGTTAACGACTTCATATCATGGTAAAATATGTTTTTTTTCATCTTATAGAATTTGTTTTAAATAAAACTTTATTTTCGAAGTAAAATTTTTATTAACAAAAAGTGAAATAATTTTTGTATTTTTTAGGTTTCAATTTTCTTAGTTTTATTTTTATTATCATCTTCGTCGATATACCTCGTATATTGTTCATATAAATCTACATAATCTTCTTTATAGTTATGTTTTTCTTTGTCATCAAATTCTGGTCCTAAAGTCCACAACGTTTCCAGATCATATTTCTCTCTCGCTTCTTCACTAAAAATATGTAAAGCAATATTCCCTAAAAAATGAAAATCAATTATTAATTTCATATTTAAGATAAACATTGGAGCATATTGCAATATTCATCGCATAATTTGGAATAATTCAAACTTTAAGGAGTAAATGCTATTGAAAATTGGTCTTTAACATACAATACATGGTAATTAAAAAAAATTACCTAAATCCATTGCCATCCAATTTTCGCAATTTTTTCCTTCTATTTTAGGTAAAATGTCATTAGGTCCACTTTTTCTTTTATAAATTTTTCTAACGTATTCAACGATTGCTAACATATGTCTATAACTTCTCCCTGTTGCAATGCACATAAAATCTACATAGTTTAAATCCTTTGACACTGGACATACAAATATATTCAGTGCATTTTCTCTTTCTAATATATCCACAAGGTCTTCAATATCATAAACTCCTGTAATTCCACCTAAATTATAAATCTATTAATATTTAGTTTTTTAGTAGATACGTTATTTTTGAGGCATCATATTCTGACTTTAAGGCTTCTTTCAAATTTTTAATGAAGTAACTTTTATTTACATATGCGTCTATAATCTACTTTTGCGAATTTCTTCAAACTAACGTTTTAAATTTAATCCTTCTTCATTACGTTGGATAACATGTGCCTCTGGCAAATCTATTGCATCTTGATTTTTCTCTTCTTCGAAATCAAATATTTCAACTGAATCCTCATCTTTGTAAATAATATACTAAAATTATTAAAATCGTTGAAAGAACACAGTTTAATTAATTTTTTCAATCTATGAATTTCTGAAATTAAATTGCATTAAAATTCTTTACGAAATAACCTATACCTTTTCCTTAATTGAACTTGAAAAAGGATTTTCCCTTATAATCTGATCTTCCTCACGTTTATCGTGAAAACATCGGATTCGTGGACAAATGCTGATGTTTTTTAATTTGCGAATCAATTGAAGACATAATTTGGTTCTTCCTAACATTTCTTTAGTTCTTATATCCTTAAAATTTTTTGCACTTAATTTATCCGCAATAAAATAAATAAACAAAAGTTTTTTTACTATAATTGACTTTTCGTTAATGTCATAGCAAGATTTGTCATAGCATACTTCAAATACTAAAACGGGACACACAAAAATAAACCCAGCAAAATGTGTTTTATTTTATTAAGCACAACAACGCAATCAATAAATTATATATTTAATTTAATATGCTGTAATCCATATTATTCCATCCATATTTTTAAGTTACCTGTGCTAGCTTTCTTATCAACATTTTATGAAGAACCACATTACAATAGAGTTACAAAAAATTATTTTACTACAAAAAGTTTTCTTGGATGTTGTATAGAAAAACACATCCGTCATAATTTTCGATGCTCTTACTTTCGTATTTCTGTATAAAGGATTGCCCGTAAGTTTTAATATCTAATAAACTGTCACTTTATGACTTTTTAAATGTCTGATTTGACTATCAAAAATTAAACAAAGCTAATTAACTCTAGTATGAGTAGCAAATCTAACTTGTAAATTTTTAAGATAAGAAAACGATTAATCTTCCAATTAACGATATTTCAGTTATTTTCACTTTTTTAATTATATATATATATGCAGGATTTATAGTTCAGCCTCTAAAAATTAAATGTCTCTAGTAGATGTTGAGTCTTGGTACTTGTTTTAATTGAAACATTGTATTAAAAATTAATGAAATTTTTTGTAGGGTTACTGAACATGACTCTTGCGAACGTCTTGGCCATGTTATTACAGCCCAGTTAGTAGAACGTGATCGCCAAAAACCTTTATCTACTGAATACTCTAATATATCTGCAAACATTCGCCTAAGACTAAGACAATTTGAACTAGAATTGAATGAATTATTTTTAAAATTAAATACAGCTAATAAAAAAAAATCCATGTAAGTAAACTTTAATCAATAAAGAATATGTATAATTAACATCAGTAATTAATAATTTTCCAAATAAACTTTCTTGAAGCACTGTAGAAGAAGTAGAACGCAGGCGAAGGCAACTTGAGATTTTGCAATCTTCTTTTAACCATGTTCAGGCCAAGTTTTTAAAATCAGAGGGTACGAGTACTTCTAAAATGACTGAAGAACGAAATCAGCTCTTGGGAAATAAAAGATCTGTATGGCAAGGAGACGATGGCGACGACGATGATGACGATGAACCAATTATAAGCAATTTACCGTCTAATTACAGTTATAAAGATTTTCGCCAGGAACAAAAAAGTATTTTAGAAAGCCAAAATAAAGGCCTTGAAGCTCTGTCAGCCACAATTTCAAGACAAAAACAATTATCTACAAGACTTGGCCAAGAAATAGGGGTACAAAATGGTAATTTGACTGAAATTGTGCTTGGTAGTTATGTTAATAAAATTTCTTTGTAGATATAATCGACAATATAGCAGAAAATATGGATGGAATAGATGTTAGAGTAATAAGTGCTACAAGAGATATAGGTTCTATCAACCAGAGAGATACAACCTGTTGTAAGTAACTTTTCTTTCAAAAAAATACAAATTTTCATAACTCTATTACATTTAGGCTACTGGATTATAATCATTATTCTCTTTATTGCCATTTGCGTAATGGCTTTAGTTTTCTAAAAAAACCTATAATTTAATACCATTATTTTAAAACTTGCATTTTTGATTATTGTATATATAAATTTTAACTAAAAATATAATTTTTTGATTTAATAAAAAAGTTTAAATATGCTTAAAATTAAAGTTTAAATATGCATTGGCTTAATACCATGTTATCTAAGGTGCAAACCAATTTTACGTAAGTTACAATCAATTGTGATAAAACATGATTTATTCTTGAATTGTTTGCAAGTTGTTTTATTTACCAAACATTAACCAACGTTACATTATTTGAATGCCAATTCAATTTAGCGTGTAATAATACAAATAAAAATAATTAAAGTTATATATTTGCTTCTTTTTTAATTAATGTCTAAAACAGATGGAACATTAGCTAAATTTCCTACAGCTCCTAAACTTAATGGGGATTGACCAACTTTTCTTGCCGCCTGAAATAAAATTCAATGTTAAAATTAGAAGATTCAAAACATATTTATATTACAGCGGAAACATCTGAGTCTGTGATACTATCAATAATAGCACCCAAAGCGGATGTGGAGTGTACCTCTCCTATTAGTGCAGCTTGATAACCCATATCTGATATTAAAGAACTTTCACAATTGTGTAATGAAGCAAGGTGCCTTTTCAAAAGCGCTTTTCCACGTTTCACATCGCCGGATGAAATTTGGCCACTCTTCAAAACTTTAACAGCCTCTTCAACTACCTATATACAATTCTTACATATATAAAAGAAAACCAACCCCATTCAAAAAATGTTTAATTTACCTTATGTGCAACTTTTCCATCACAAGAAATGAGAATACCAAATAATCCAGAGTCATTGTACAAAGCATTTATGGCACTAACGGAAGCCCCATGGTCAGAAATTTTTCCCAAAGGTCCAGAAGAATTACCGCGCTTTGTAACTGGTTCAGCCCCAAGTGCTCTTTTTAATATAGCAAAAGCTAAAGCTTCTTTAAGATTTGAGAGTCCAGCACCTTGGCCTCCAATTGCAACATGAGCCTTATTGCTTGCTCTGTCCTTACGAATTTCAACATTTCCACGATATTTTGCTTGATTTGTAATGCCCTCACCAGAATCAATTGAAAGGTTTTGAGCAAAGCCTGTCAATAAATTATGGTCAACTCCAACTCCTACAACTGCGCAACGATTTGTTGTGCATGTTTTGTTAAAGAAGTGCTGCATTGTTTCTTGTGATAACTTTCCGATATGATATTTTGGACAATAAATTGAATTACCGAGTCCAATTCCAAAGGCTGCTTTGTGTAACAATTCTAAAGCGCGAACCTAAAATTTTTCTACATTAATTTATTATGTACAATTTTCTTTAACGTTTTACATTACATTTTTTGGTACTGAAGCAACTTGAATTCGGATTCTTTGGGAGCTATCGCTTAATTCCCAAGGTTTAAATGCAGGAGCGGTAGCAACATCTTTCAAAAAACGCAAACCAGTTTCCAAGTGTTCATTATTTACCTCAACAGTGTACTGAACTACTTCGCGATCGGAAGTTACATGCAAATTACCTCCAGATTGTTGAATATTTCTTGTTATTGCAAATCCTGAGGAGTTTTTAGTTGAAAGTCCAGCAGCAATTCGCAACATATGAGATGCTCCCATATTTTCATAATTTTCGAAACGAGATCCAGCTCTTGATTTTCACGAAAAAAAAACAAAAGATCAATTAAAATATAAGAAAAAAATTATTAGTTTTTACCGAAAAACAATTGAAATTCTTGAAGCAGGCAAATGACTGTCAGCTGTTGCTACAACTAATTTATTTGGCAATGCTGTGCTTCTGATTCCAGCAGATGCAGCCCCAGCTGCTGCTCTCGGACTTGCTTGAGCAGCATATCCTCTATTCTAAAAAAATTAATACACATTATTTTCCGAAGCATTTACGTAATAGTCTTAAAGTTGAGGTTACAGAATTTTACTTTTTTTTTGGTTTAACCTTTTCTATTCTGAAACTTACTGTAATTTGTCGAATAAGAGGCGTTTTATTAACGTAGCTTGCCATTTCAGCTTGCCTTTGAATAAACTTCGAAGAGAATTTTACGTTGAAGAGATTTTAACTGGAGCTGGTTAAATAATACTTCTATCTTTGATTTTTGGCTGTCACTAAATCTTAATGTACATTGTACATAGCACCAGTCTTTATTATAAACTGTCAAAGTTGACAATTTATTTTTTAATATTACATTCACACATTCCATTTTCCACACGGATGTTGCTGATATGTTTGAAATATAATTTTAATTGGTTTTGATCTTCGATCAACTAGATCCACATATAGAAGGATGACAAATATTAAAATGACAAATAAATTTGGACTATTTTAACTACATTAAAATTAAAAAAAATTGTTTTTTTTGTCAGATTTTACTGTTTTTTGAATAAAAATCTATACTGCATTTAGTTATGATGCATAATTCAATAATGAACTCTTCCTAGTTAAAAATTCTAGTCAGTAGTTAATAATACGAATTGAAGTGATTTATATAAAGTTAATCAGATTTTATTTTATTTATTTTTGTCACAAAATTGAATTTTTTAGGTTTCGTTATTATATTTGGTTTTTTTTTTTAAACTTTGTTACCTTTTTTTAAAAAATAGGTCAATTTTATTATAAAATAGTTTGTCTAATTATCTTTTTGTTTGCATACATTTTTTTCCTCCTCAAACGACATTCGAGTTACGACATAAATTTCTGGAACCAAAAATGTCGTATCTCGAGAACTTAGTATATATATTTTTCGTATTGTGTTAATTTATTTTATTACTTCACTCTGCAAAATTGTGGTAATGAAAAAGGAAAGATTCAGGTAAATTTTCTTTTAAAAATTTACTTGATCATTTTTATGCTAAAATAGAAAAATAATAGATCTAATAATTAAAAAAATAAAATTTACTCTATTTTATTAATTCGCTTACTTTACGTAATTCTTTCCAAATAATTCTAAACGATTATGGGCAGCTCCTATATTACAAAGCACTTTTATATCTGGCAGACCAATTCATTTTGCTACTTGACATTTTTATACGCAATCTATGTTGAAGTTGGGCTTTAAAGGTATAAGTATAACTTATGTTAGGTCTAACATAAACGCAACAAAAGTCGAAAAGTACGTACCCAATTAAATTTTTTTTTGGCATTCGTTGTCAAAGTCAAAACATTCTAAATGTCATTAATTTTTCGTATTAATTAAAGGAAAAAAGAATTAAAAATATTAAAAAATTATTTTAATTCGTTATTAGAAAAAAAAATGGCCTCATTTTTTAATTCAATGAGTAATCCATTTGCTAGTCAAATTGGACAAAGAATTGGTAAGAAATAACATTAAGTGATGTTACAATCTAAAATTTGTACAAATATATTTTTACTAATAAGAATATTTGCCGCATCATTCATTATTAAATTTTAATACGAAATTTGTTTAAAATTATGTCACTGCATTGTTACATATATAAACACAATATATAGTTAATTTAAGTTAAATATCGGATTACACGTTATAGCTAAATACATGTATGCAGACGCATATTTGGTTGATTGTCTCCAATTTCAATAAATGTAGATGGATAATAACATTTTCAATATTTGTATTGCAATAAGCCAGCAACTTCTTAAAAAAATATTGAAATGATATATTTTTCCTTTGTGTAAAATACGAATAACATTCAATGTGCATATATGATTCTAGATATATGATAATGATAAATCGTTAATTGATTGTAGTAGATAAGCTGTGGCAAATAATTACATATAGCAAAATCATTTACTGTCTTTTTATTTGATAACTTCGGATATATGTGTATATGAACTTTTGAATAATATTATATGCGCAATTTTAAAATTTACTGAAGCAAATCCACTGCTTATATTTTTTTTATGGTATCTACGAATGTTATTGTATTTCTAAAGTAATAAAACCTGATTTGTTTATGCAAACAAAGTGATTTTGAAGCTATTTTAATGACTAAAATATAGTTTATACTACATATAGAATATATATATTTGGTTTTAGAGCAAGCAACAGATGCAAGTTTAGCTTCTGAAAATTGGGCTTTGAATATGGAAATATGCGATATGATAAATGAGTCTTCGGATACAGCAAGAGATGCTATGAAAGCGATAAGGAAACGTCTTACACAAAGTGCTGGAAAAAATAATCAAGTTATTATGTATACGTTGATTGTTTTAGAAACTTGCGTCAAAAATTGTGGCAAAGCCTTTCATGTTTTGGTAGCCAATAAAGAATTTATTCAAGAATTAGTAAAAATCATTGGACCAAAAAATGATCCCCCAAAGGCTGTGCAAGAAAAGGTTTTGAATTTGATACAAGTATGGGCCGATGCTTTTAAGAATCAACCAGATTTAAATGGTGTTGTGCAAGTATATCAAGAGTTAAAAAATAAAGGAATCGAATTCCCAGTAAACGATGTTGAGTCAATGGCTCCGATTTATACGCCACAAAGAGTAATTATCTATGAAAAATATTCAGATTTTATGTTATTTTTTTTTTTTTTATTATTAAAGAGCGTACCGGAAACAACACCAGTTCAACCGCCGCCCATGTCATCACCTCAACATGGAGTGCAAATAAGTCCAGCTTCAGCTGCTATTGTAATTAGAATTTATTTTTAATATTGCAATTTTAATTAACTTAAATTTTAATATTATTAGTCAAATGGACCATCATCTTTATCACCAGAACAAACTTCAAAATTACAGTCAGAACTGGACATAGTGTCGATGAACATGTCGATTCTAGGAGAAATGTTAAATGAAATGAAACCTGGTCAAGAAGATCCAAGTGATTACAAATTGTTAAATGATTTAGTTCAGACTTGCAAGTAAATAATGTTTAAATTGATTTGAAATATTTTATTGTACTGTAATTTTTTACACTTTTTTTTGTAGAGAAATGCAAGGCCGTATAGTTGATTTAATTGGGCGTATAACAAACGATGAAATAACAGCTGAGTTGTTGAGACTGAATGATGAACTTAACAACTTATTTTTAAGACATCAGCGATATGAAAAAAATCGTGATCCTAATTCAACTAATAATACTCCGTCAGCAATCTTAGGAGCAGCGTTAGGAGTTCCATTAAGTAAAGAAAAGGAAAAACCAAAAGATGAATTAATTGATTTAAGCGATGGTGCTACAGGTGGTTCTGGAACTGAAGACATTTCCTCGCAATTCAGTAGACTAGGTAAAAATTTTAAATATATAATATATATAATAAAAAAAAAAACTATAAAATTAATTTCACCCTTATAGGAATGGGGACAGCATCTTCTCAATTATCGAAACTAGATGGGGTGCAGGCAAATGTTGGCAAAATTTCCAAAGATGCTGATGAATTCGACATGCTGGCCCAGTCGAGAAATGTAACAACAGATCCATCAAAGTAATATTTTAAAAAAATTTTTCCCAAATAAAATTTCTTTGACATTATTTTTTTTTTAAGAATTAACAGCGTTAAAGACATTCCAATAGTAGAAACAAATGTAGGAAACCAAAATAAGGTAATTTCCTTAAATAAAGAAATTAAGTAATTAATGAAAAAAAAAATAACATTTAATATTCAATGTAATTATTTTTACTTGTTCACGGTCTTTAAATAATTTTTAACATTAGAATTAAGTTGCAATTAAAAACTTCCTTTTAAATTTATTTTAAATTGCTTAATTGTGAAACGGAATACACATACATACATAATATAATATGAACACAAATTAATTATAATTTTTATAAATTTCAAATTCTTTTATATTTTTAATTTATTTATTTTATTTTCCTTGTTAATTTTCTATATTTAATTTTCGTACTTTTTTTTTTAATCTTTTTTTGGTTAATTTTTCTATATAATAACTCTTAATTTTTTCACAATTTTTTTTTCATATTTATTTTTTTCGCTTTTTAATTGATAAAGCAATCGACAAAAGAAAGTGAATTTGATGAAATGGCTGCGTGGTTAAATAATTCTGTAAGTAAACAAACGTAAAATTATAATTCGTTACATAAATTCTTTCAAAATTTGATCAATTTTTGTTAATGGTTACAAGTAAACATTTTCATGCATTTTTGAAGTTTTTTTTTTGTTGTTTTAATATTTTGGCTATTAATTCATACTAATACACACAATTCATGCATAGTCATTATTATATTAAAATGAATTTGTAATGAAGTTAATCTTGTTAGGAAAAGTTTATATTACGTATTAAGTGAAGAGTTAGAGAAAATCCAATTTTCTAGAAATGGTTTTACTTTAACTGTTAATTTTGATTTAGCCGCAATATTTACTTAATAAACAATTTGTTTAATTTTTGCGAAATAAATATACTTAATAAAGCGAAATATGAATTAATTAACATTTGAATCAATTGTTCAAGAAACTTGATATAGCAGGTTATAAAAGTAGGTTTATAAAAGTTTTGCAGAAAACTCAATTTGTAAACTATTCGAAAATTTAACTATCCTGAAAATAAAAAGACTATATTTATCTTTATAATTTATGAAATATTTCCTTCCGTCTTTCATTTCACTATAAAATATTAATTTTTATATTGTCATTAGTATACAAGTTGCTTTTTTTAAACAAATTAAAATTTAACCAGGTATTTGTGTATATATGTAATAAGCTGTAATATTTAATATGTTTATATTTGTGTAAAATTTTATTATTTAATAATTATTCTTAATTTTGTACATATATTTTGTACCTATAGCTTTGTTGTTTAACATTTTTTACAATAACTTAATAACAAGTAACTTTTTCTAAAACTAAATCTAATGAAAAAAGGTTGTTCTTCTTTATTTAATAAAGAAAGCAACGGTTGCAATTATTAACATTATTTTCGTAATTGTTTCATTTACCTACTTTAAGCATATTTTAATTGGCAGATAGAAATTATCTATACTAATAATTTAAATATAATTTTTTATGGAAAGTATACCATTACAAATTCAATTTTTTTAACGTTGAAGATAAGTTTTGATAGGTGTAATAAATTAATACTATTTTGGATTAATATGAAAAAATCTTAAGAAAACACTAATCTATTTTAATTTTGCTATTATTTAATAATTGCACCTTACTAATTTTAACGGAAACATATAGTCTGTTTTAAACACCCATTCTTCAAATCAATTTCAATTTTTTATTTTAAGCTACATTATTATTTAAATTTTTATTTCATTTTACATATTTACATAATATTATGTTTTTTTTTACATTAAGTATAATAAATATATGTATCAAGAAAAATTACAAAAAATATATCGTTCTATTATAAAACTGTTTAATTTATTCACAGTAGAATAATTTTTTTGTTTTTCAAATTAAAGTAAAATCAAATTAATTTTTTTTTTAATAGAAAGACATCGAAGGAACCGAAGAAATTTTAACAAGTACAGAGTTCGATAAATTTTTAGCAGAAAGAGCCGCAGCTGCCGAAAATTTACCAACCTTGTCAATCGCAACAAATAATATAAATGAAGATACGGAAGGAAATCGCCAAAAAAAGAAAAAAGATGATGAAAATTTACTTGCACTTTGAGGCAATAACATTAGTTGCTGATTTGAAACAAAGAGAAATTAAGCTGAGGTTATGAAATAAAGAAGAATTAAAACTAAGAAATATTTATTATTTAAAATAATTAACCATAATAATGTTATTTAAACATACTAAATAACTAAAATTATGTATTATAATCCAGAAATAGCAAGTCTTTAAAAATTTAAGTGCAAAGTATACCAATACAGTACAGGAAATATTATGAAAAAATTCTAAAAATCTTCAATAAGTTCAATCTTCAAAATTAAAAAACAAAAAAAACATTCAAATCCACAAAATCTAATATTTAATAAAAACAAATTATTTTAAATTAAAACGTACTGAATTATTGTTTCTTTGGAGTAGTTTGTACTACCATTGATAATAATATTAATCAAAATATATTGTAAAAAAATAATTAAAAGAATTAGTTATAGTTATTTTTATTTAATTTATTATGTAAGCTATATTATTTTATTAATCACTACATTCGAGAATGGTTTGACCTTGATTTCAGGAGATTCTTATGTATATTATTTTTGTTCAACTCAATCAATGTTATAACTGAATTTTTGCATAATTGTCTCGAATTTTTCATTGATTTTAAATACAAGAAAAAAAATTATATAAATTTATGTATTATAAAGTAAAATTTTGCTTGTATTTTTGTTGATCTTAATTTTGATCTTAAATTTTATAAATTTCAACACCATCAATAATATTGATATAAATACACAACTGCGAAGTAAAGGAAAAAGATAAATTTTAAAATTCTTAATGCATAGTTTTTGTGTTACGAATTTATTTTCTAAATTGTATAAACGTTTATTTAATTGTATAAATAATAAAATAAAATCCTAAATCAGTTTCAAACCATTTTTTATTTAAGTAAAATTTAATAAACCACCAAAGAAACTAAATATTTCAGCTATATTAATTCATTTATATTTAGGTACATATATATTATGTTTTTCATAAAATAACAAATATAAAATCATGTATAACAACAAAGTATGTAAAAGTTTAAAATATTTAAATTGATCAGAACCTGTTTTGTATTACATACTTATATTATTATGGGTGACGAAATTTTTATATGTACTTTGAAATGTTAAGAATTCTTTTTTGCATATTGTAAGTTCATACAAAAAGTTTACATAAATATTATTTATATTCATTTATCTAATTTAATATTATTTATACATACATAATGTACTTCATTATGTATAAAAATTTTTTTGTATTTCGAATGTACTTGAATGCTTATAAAGTTTTCTTTTCATAAAAGTTTTTTGTTGATATCAAAAGTTTTACAACCAACCTTACAATATATTGATTTGAAATTATATTGCTAGTTCATTGTTTTATACATTTTTATAAATTTTTTCTTCTTTGAAAATGTCCTCAAATTTAAAGTGAAAATTTTACCAATTTTATAAATATTTTTATTAATGAGCTTTAAATGCTCATTGATATTCGTGTTAATCAGCATTTGTAACATCAAGTATTTGAAAGTATGAATTTGTATGTAATATTTTATATAAAAATTGGTGGCTGGTGAACTTTTAGCCTAAAAAAATTTTACACTTTATTATATTACTTAATTGTTTTTTGTATAAAAAATTATTTGTCAAAGCAGTAACTATAAGGAAGATAACAATATTGAACTTTTCGAAACATTTCCAAAAAAAAAAATTATGTATATTGCAATTAGTATTCCTTATTTTCTTATGTAAGTTTCTTTTTTATATTAATACAATAAAAGTTATTTATTTCAAAAATGTTTTTAAATGTTTTTGTGTTAAAATTTTTTGTATGTACTTTAAAAACATTAAAAATAAAATAAAAGAAATAATGTGCGATAAATAAACTTGTGATTTTTATTGCGTATTGAATACAATTACAATTGATGTTTTTTACTATTTCTTCAAAAAATTAATATTTACAGTCTTATAGTAAAATTTAAAAACAGTAATATGTTTTTTTTTATAATTTAAATATTTTAATCACAATTATTAATTAAATTCAGTTATTTTTGACCTGTAAATACTTTGCAATATAAAGTAACATTTAAAAAATTAAATCTGTTTACCGAAATTTCGATGATCTATATAAAATATACAAATAATTCACAAAGTATAAGCTATGTACACAAAATTTACATTTAATTATTGCAAAAGAAATCATTATAAAATCCGTAAACAAACAAAAAAATTTAAAATGTCTATATTATTTCCAAAAATAAATTAATAGCATGGCTTAATTCAATTGTTTGGTGATTTAAAAGACAAAATAAAAATTTAATGAAGTAAAAATATTGTTTAATATGTCTAAAATGGCATTAATTAACATAAAAAAGAAACAATTTTTTCTCATTCTAATGTTAAAAACAAACAAAAATTAAATTAGAAAATAAAATATAAAAATTATGTTGTCTAATTATTAACAAAAAAAAAAAATTAAAAAAATATTTGTACAATGTTTTAAAAATTCTTTATTGTTTATTTATTAACTATTATTAAGTTCTAAAAATAAAATTAATTAGAATTATATGAAAAAAAAAAAATAGAAAATTATAAATTAAAAAAAAAAAAAAACGTCTGGAAAAGTATTAACCATTTTACTATATATTATATTTAATAAAGTAAAAACTAAAAAAATTTATAATATTGTGAAAATCCTATGTGCACTGATACAAAATGATAAAACCGAATTTGTTAAAAACATGCAGAGAGACTTTCATTTTTATTATTATTTTCGTAGACTGTATGTGTCACAAAAGGAAAGGTATGATTCGATTTATTCTTAATTTTAATCGAATTTAATTCCCTTGAAAGTATGACAAAAAAGAAAACTATTCAATTTTATTTAAAAGGTCATCTAAGAAATAGTTCTGTCACAAATAAACTACAGAAATGTGCAAGAGATATGGAAGAAACTGCCATATGAGGTCTTTTATATACTTGTAAGAACAGAAAAGAACAAAAGTTTTGCAATCGAATATAGTATTCTAACAGCAACTTACCTTGGTATTCTTTGTACATCTGTTATATTATCTACTGTTATAAAACTTTTTATATATCCCTGAACATATTTATTTTATAAAATAAAGACAAAGATTATTATCTAATCATTTAATATCATATTTTATGTGTAATAAGCAATCAGTTTCCGAACAGCATTTAAACCGTTTCAATATATTGATGTGTATAAGTATACGTGTGAATTTGTATATGTGTATATGTACATAATCAAATTAAAATTTATATCTACAAGTACTTCTGTCAACAGTACCCACTTTTTCTAAAACTTCTTTAAAAAATTAATATTTCAATTTATTTATGTCGTCTGGCCACTTTACTAAGAAGCTAAATTAACTTTGAATTCTAAAAAACTCTTTTGAGAAAGGGAAGGCAATATAAAAATAAAATAACTGTTAATTTTACAGTAAATATTTTCTAACCCTATATGTGATCACATTTCGAAGAACAATTTACAAATTATTTAATTGGCTACTTTTCAGTACTCATTTTAACTTTGTGAAGTCCAGATAATTTTTTTTTCTTTTTTGAATAATCAAACAGCAAATAAATATTTTACTTTCATTATTTTTCAAAAAAATTATATGAAAACCAAAACATTTAAATATTTTACTTTGCAAATTATACTAAAATAAGAAACTTTTTTAAAATCGATTTTTTTTTAACAAATTATTTAAAAAAAGCATTCAAAATGGTCAAATTAAGTTATTATTTTCCAGTGTCTAGTGATTCAATTTCTTTAAAAAAACAATTGTTAGAAAGTGGTGTTCTTGATATTACTAGTAAGAACTAAGAAAAAGTTTTAAATATGTGTATTACGTGTATTTCCTTTTTTTAAAATTTTAACTTTAAAAAAAAATTAATCTTTCAAGTAAAGACAACGCGTGTTATGGCGGGAATTATTACATTTTTTCGATGCTGAATTCATTTAAATATTTTTGGCGCCACATCTACTCAAATTTGAAAGCTAAGACTAAAAAAAAATTGTTTTTACAACATTCCTTCACTTTATTAAATAAAATTTAAATTTTATTTCAATTTTATAATGTTAAAAATATATCTTTACCAAATATTCTCATTATTATAAGCAATTTTATTCAAGTATTTATTATAAATTTTCAAATCACTGAACATACAAAAAAGATTCTCTAGAAATTAAATAAACCCTAGGACTGATATCAATTTCATATAAAAAAAATTATCAGAGTTTAAGAGCCTTATACGTTTTGAATAAATTTTTTTCCCATATTCAAGTTTTTTATTCACTATTAAATTAATTGAAAGATCAGAAAAGTTTTTATATTTCACAAATTCATATTAACACATCCATAATTAAAACACGTACCATTAAAAAATTGAATTAGCCCCAAATAACCTAATTACGGTTTGTTGTCGTGCTGAAATCACTGTAAACTTAATTGTATTTTATTGTATACTGTAATAAAATTAATTTAATCATAAAATTATTTTATGTTAATTGTATATGTAGTCTACATGTGTGTCTACTTTATTTTATTAAATATTACTTTCCAAAATTCAGATGAGACAATGTATCGCATGGCGCCGGAAGCCGTGGACCCATCAATACTAAGTCGAGGATCATTATCGCACAGGCGTTACACACGATCTGCTCTAATGATGCTACGAGACGACAAACTATCAAAAGAAATACCAAATTGTATAAAAAACTCTTCACACTTATTAAAATTCCCTTTTTGGAAATTGGATAATAAAATTCATAATACTTCCGAAGAATTAAGAATGAAAACAACAAGATTAAGTAATGATAATAATCCTTACATTGCAAAATACCGTCAACATAACAACAATAGCAACAATAATATTAATATTAAACATAATAACAATATCAATTTAAATAATGAAAATAACAACTATATTAATAATAATGATTACTTCAATTATAATAGTAAAAATGTTTATAATACTTACAGCAACAGAAATTTTTCTAGTTATAATTATAATAGTAATAGCAATAACAATAATAATTTTGGTAATCAAAGTAGCACTCGACATTTCTTGCATAAAAATCATAAATTTTCTAACAGAAGTTTAGTCAGTAATGAATCTGAAAATATTCAATTAAAATTTGACTGTCATGAAGGTAGATTTATTGAAAAATACGATTGCGAAAGTTCTGTAAAACGCAAAGACCACTCTTCCGGAAATTCAGAACAAAAAAATAGTCAATATTCGTATATGATACCGAATTTTATTAAAAATAACTACGACAGGATAAACAAACGTAAATCAGATGAGTCAATAATGCAAAACGGGTGTGATAATAATAATGAAAATTTCACTACGGGTAATAAATCTTATAATGTGGACATAAATTTAGGTGTTTTTTCGGATGTCTCAAGAAGAAATGATAATGAACATAAAGTTGATTGCAATGAAGAAATGTTTTCAACTACAAAAACACATTCGTATAATGGAAAGCACAACGAAAATCAACGTTATGGTAGTGGCCGAATATCATTGCCAAATAAAAATTGGAACTATACGACCAACAATATTGATACGGATTCATTAAATGATATGAACAATAAGTTTGGAAAACTTTTAGATAACAATAATAGTTGGACTGATAATAAAAGTAATAATAATAATAATATTCATAAATACAATCGTTATAACTATAATGAAAGTGATTATAATAATATTAGTTCTAATAATATTACCGACAAAATTAATCAAACAAATTTAATAAATCGCTACAACCAAAATCATCACTATAAAATTAACGCAAATAATCATAACTACAGTCGCTATAGAAAAGAAAGTTTTTCTTCATCGAATCATTCTTGTAACAGTGAAGAACCAGAATGGCTTAATTGCGGTCCAATTTCACAAAATGATATTATTGAATTAAAAGGTTTTGATGATGATCCGGCAAGCGATAAAGAAGATGACAATTGTGAAACAAATCAGAAAATTAAAAAGATAGCATTAGAAAATGAAAAGAAAGAAGATAATTTTGAAATGCATAAATTTTCTGAGGGTAATTGTAGCACAATTGAAAATAGAACAAAAAATCATGTCAGCTTAACATCCACGACATTAAAATCTGCCTGTAATGATGAAGTTCAATCCGTTTGCACTAGTACAGCACAATCGCCCCCTCCAGCTAGAAGTACACCAACAAAACTTCTAAATTTATATTCAAATAATAATAATAAAAAATGGAACCGTCAAAATAATTCAAGTTCAAGCAATGCTACAAATGACCATAATAAGAAAAATTATTATTCATTACAATTTAGTTTTGACAACTTCTTGGATTATGATACCCTTAATAATATGTTTGGGGTAAATATCAAATAATTTTTTTTTAAATTTGTCATTAATTGTTTTTTATTATACAGGGAAATTCTAAATCTAGATCAAATCATTGGTTTAAAAATCATCACAATGGTTCATTTAATAATGATACGAGACATAAACAAAATTATACAGTATTTGAAAAAAAAAATCACAGACAACATGAACAGTTCCCAAAGAATGGTAAATTTTATTTACTTTTACAGTTATACTTTGTTTATGTGTTTGTTTAACACATATTTTCCAAAATTTTAGTAATTAATGTGAAGGATTTGGAAGATCAAATGCGAAAAATTGGATATTACAGAAATTTTCAACATCAAGGCAATGATATTAAAACTGGAATACTACATCAAAATTTGCCAAATTTCGGTAGTATAAATCAAAATAAGAAGCAACCTGAATCACCAATAAAACCATCTGTTAACGCTTTTACTCAATGTGCTTATCAGCAAATGTTAGCACAAGCTAATTTAATAGTAAAACAAACACAAGATCCAGAAGCCTTTAGACAATTTTTAGAGCAAATAAATTCAGTTAATCAGCTTGCTGCTTTGTCACAAGTTTCTAAACCCTTTTTAAATTTTCAACCTTTTATGTTAAATAATAACGGTAAGGATCGCAATTTTTGTTTTCACTTAATGGGTAGTTAATTTCATGTTTATCAAAATGCATATTTTTAAGGAGGAGTTCAAAAAAGAATGCCATCTGCTCAAGAATTAGAATGTCATACAAGAAATATTGTGCAAAACGCTTTGTTTCGAAAACATTTACAGGAACAACAGAAACTTCGTTTACAGGAATTAATTTGTAAATTAATTTTCATAATTTTAAAAAATTTATTCGAAATTCATTTATCACTTTTGATTGCAATTAATCTACAATGAAAATTTATTTAATTTTTAACTTAAAAATATTTTAAAATATTATTTAAGATTTTATGTTTTTGTCGTAAAATTAACTATAAATTTTATTTATTTTTAGATAACTTGAAATTAAACATAAAGTTTAATATATTGTTAGGTTAAATATTTAAATATCATTATTTTTATTCTTATTTATTAAAAGCATTACAATCAAATATAAATCCAAATGCACCTGAATTTACACCTACATCGGGTTTTCGTAAAATATCATCCGAAAAAGAAAATTTTAACCTTATGACAAGTGTTGGAAACAATTTAGGTGAAACATCGATTAATAATTTTAATTTTCAAAATTATCAAGCTCAAAATCATCAATATCAGCAAGCATTGAATCAACAAAATTGTAATGTAAAAGTTTCGTCAATTTTAAATAAATTTAATGATAACTATACAGAAAATGGCGGAATTCATATAAAAACTGGTGGAAAACATATCAAATGGAATAATGATCAAACACATTACATTCCAAATAAGAAATATATGGGTATGTACATATAAGAAATTAAATTGAATAAAAATAACTAGAAATAAAACTAAAAAAAATACAAACAAACCACAGGTCGGCCAATTTTAAAATCCTCGAATAAAAATTCTACATTATCAGAATCAAAATTAAATAATTATCATCAATCAATACTAAAGCAGCCACAGAACTACCATCAGAAGCGAGGAGATCATTATGGCTTCGATTATTTTTTAAAAACCAAATATAATAATAATGATTATTTTAATTCCAAAGTTAATGAGCCAACAATACCTTTGACTTCTACATTTCCGGAGGAAAATTGTTTTCTGAATCATAATAATAACGACAGACAATCCGTATTATCTCAAAATGATATAGAAAATATAATCGAAGAATCAAAAACTTACTCAAAAGGTAATCTGTTCTATATAAATTATAATATGTAGTTGTATAGATTATTTTTTGCTCAAATAGCAAGTGACTTCATATTGCGTATACCAGATATAATTACAAATTTTAAAATATTGTGTTTAATTTTAGTTGAGTCTGTAAAAATTGACGTAAAAGAAACTGAAAAAGAGAATATGGATTCAGCTCAAAAAGACGACAATATTAAAGAACAGGAAAATGAAGATGATAAGGATAATAAATCAGATAAATTATCGGAAGCTGAAAATATTCCAAACACTGATCTTGAAAATATTCCAAACACTGAAGGTGCTTAAATATAAATTTATATTGTATAGTGTCATTTATTAGATCAAGTCACAAAATTGTTTGTTCACAAAACAATGGGACAGCATTTTCGATTTGGAACTTGATTTAAAAATTATAAACAGTTTAAAAAATAACAAACGATTTATATATTTCTCATTTTTTTCAGATTTAATACAAAAAAGAAATGATCAAGATGATATGAACACTAAAATCGATTAAAAAATAAAATCTTGTATTGTATCTGACAATGATTTCTTTTAAAAATTAATGTGAATGTTTTGAATAAGATATAAAATAAAAAATTCCTTTGAGAAAAATTTTAAAATATGTAAAAAAATTCTAAAAAGAAAGAAGCAATTTTTAGTAAATGAGATATAAATAACAATCTTTATTATAAATTTTCCTTTAATAAATTTTTTTAATTGTAATCATTACAAAATTTATACAATTATAACTGAAAAAGAATAATCATTGTCTATTTATTAATATAGTAATTTTTATTTAAGTAAAAAAAAAAAATAAAAGTAAATTGTTTTACTATGTTCTTATTATGCTGATATTATTATATATATAATTTTTTTTATTAAAAGGTAAAATAAATAAGATTATTTTGTTATTTGCATCATTCAAACAATGGATTAACATATTATTAAATATTGTTATAGATATACATAAAATTTTAAATTAAATTAATTTGAATTAAATCAGATTAATATATATGCCAATACATATTTAAAATAAAATATATATTATGAATTTTAGTTATAATTATTATATTTAAAAATCATGTAATTCTTGCTTATAGATCAATTACCGTTTATATATTAAACATTTTTGAAATAAATGTAAGAACATTTTTTAAAATAAAATGTAAAAAAAAATTGAAATATTATAATTGGAGTAATTACAAATAAATAAAATAAATAAATAAATAATATGGTAAATAAAAATAAAATTGCCAAAAATCTGTAAACTTTAAAATAAAAAAAAATATGGTAGCTATATTCAATTCAATGGAAATGAAATACTCCAAAATAAAATACAATTTAAAATTTAATATTTAAGAATTTACTTGTTTTGAAAACAAGAAAATGTGAAGATGTAAAACAGAAAAACAGAAAATGAATTTAAAAATGTTGAACAAAATAATAAACTCAAATATAGTTAAAAAATTTACATATTTTTGTACCTATTTGTAAATTTTCCATTTTTATAAGACTTTTGAATTCAACTTTAAAGAATTCAAGCTTTCAAGAAAGTTTAAAAGCTCAAATCCAAGTTAATAATTTATTTTTAGTTTTCCTTATAAAAAAAATTTGTTTTTTCCCCTTCATTAAATCTTATTTTCTTCATAAAATTTTTTTGTATATTAAATTTTTTTAGTAAGTTTTTTTTGAAAGTTTGGGGTTCGAAAATTTAGTAATAACTTAGATCTTAATAAAAAGCATATTTTATAAATCAAAAATTACAAAAATTTTTAAATGTGACATGTTCAATAAATCTTTGCTATACAAAAGGAAATCCTACGTTCGAAAATTGTAGCATATTTAACGTCTGAAAAAGTAAACTAGTTTAGTTCCTGTAAATTTGAATAATGATGCATAAAATTTAAGTTAGAACTTTTAAGTTTATAATTGAATTATCGAAAATTCCTGTTTTTTTTTTAAATCTGAAATGTTTTTTAAAATCTATTTCATTAACTTTGCATTTTATTATACAAATTATAATTTCAAAAAATATTATGTTCTAAATACATGTGTATGTATGTCCGTAAACTCATTTTAAATAAATTAGATCAAATTTAATATTTCTTACGATTTTATATACATATACGCTTTATTTTTATTATGTAATGCATGTATGTATATATCAATGTGTATGAATTTAAAACTCGAAAATTTGGTTTATTTAAGAGTCATATTATATGAGAGGTGAGTTATTTAAGAGGCATATTATAAACCTGTATCTGGTTTATAATGGGTCTTTTTGTTTTCAAAAAAAAATTTTCAAAAGTAACCGCTCGTGCTGAGCTTTCAACAATATGATTTTTACAATAAAAACTAAAAAACCAAAGAATAAAAGCGAGAAATATGTATAGATGGCGTTTTCTTAATGAACGTATAAAATTTTCTAGATTTTAATAAAAGTCATTTTCCTGTTTTATTTAAAAATCTAAAGAATCCAGAATAAAGGACAACAAGCATCCAATTTTACTAAATTTTTATAAAAAAAATTTTTTTTGGTAAATTTAAAGAGTGACGTCTTTTTGTCACTCATTAAATTCTTTTTTTCATTTCTTTTTTTAAAGAGTAAAATTTTCTTAATAAAAACGGTTTTTCGCTCGTAAATATGGTTGCGTGTATGTATGTACGTAAGAACATAATATTATCGAAATTTCAAAGCATTTAAAAATATTATAAACTGTAGCAGTAGACCATTGAATTAGGTAGGCATTTAAAACAAAACAATAAGAAAATATTTTATTCACCATATGGTACGGTAAGAGAAAAAAACTTCCTATAAATAAGTAGAGGAGTGTATTAAAAACATATTTATTGAGAATTTTTTATTGTATTAGAACATTCTATGTCTGTCGTCATTATTAAAATAATTGAAATTATGTATGAACTATTGAAGAAATTAAATCACATTTATAACAGAAATAGTAATTTCGCATTATCGACTTATACAACAATAAAATATAACGCACTTCTTAACCAAAATCGTTTTCATACATACAACATGCATATTTCCCTTTTTACACTAAAAAATCGAAGCGACCTGTTGATTGAATCACCATATTAAACTTATTTGAATAACATATTGAACTTCATTACATTCATAAATTGTGAGCAATCTACATACATGCGTACACACACGAAAAATTAAAAAGAGTGTTATTATTTAAGTGCTATTTTTTATTGTATAAAATTAACGTGTAACTACATATTATGTATGTATAGTAGTAGTACCAAAATTTTTTATACAAACCAAATAGTTAACGAAAGCGTTGATTAAAATTATAAATCTCTTTCAAATCGCTTCAAAATTTTATAGCTTCCTGAAATAAAATAATTATCCTAGAGTTGGTTAGCTTATCATTCTCTCATCATTTTTTATTTTGTTATAACTAGAATAATATTCTTATTTTAGTATAATTGTGACTTTGCACTGAATAAGTTTATCAAATCGGATTTTTTATTTTATTTTCGTATAGGTAGAATGTTTTTATACTGATAATAAAAAAAATATTCAATTTTATCTAACAGATACAAAAGAAAAACAAAATTTTAATAAAAATGTCCGTAATAGCTATAAAAAATATTTTTCAAAAACGTGGTTTTATTTCAAACCAGTTCATAAAGGTAAGCAAAATAATAAATTTATTTACTAATTAATTGATACATATATATGCACAATATGTATATATATATGTATATGTACATATAACTACTGTATTTATATATACATAAGAAAATATGTTAACACAATGTACATATATTGCTATAATAATCTAATGAAAGAGAAATATGAAAAACCTGGAAGAATTTGTTCTCTAAGATTGTTTATATGTGATATGTATGTATATATGTTCATACATATAGGAATATTATATGCGTATAAATATGTACGTTTGTATGTAACATTATTTATTTATATCAAAAGTGTGAGTCTATATAAAATTTATAAAATGAAAACAACGTGAAGGTCAACTTTTTGCATAAGATTTTGTGAGAATAATATGCAAAGTTTAGAAAAGTGTTTGGAAAAATTAATTTCAATACAATATCTATTTAAATTTGATAAAAAGAGTGGTAATTATATAAAAATGATGCATTTAATCTGGAAAATAATTTTTTAGTATTAAAATTATTCGTACAACACTACTAAAAAGAGTCGCCTACACTTAGTCCCCACAATTATTTCAAAATATACCCCCTATCTCAGTGATATGCATATGCTTTTGTTTATATGTATATACATATATAATATGTATGGAATTATGTATATACATGAACATGGTTATCCGTAGTAAAAATGGCATGGTAATTGTTACAATTAGTTAAACATAAATACAATTCGGTTTGTTTTAACTATTAAATTTCAAAGAAAAAAAAAAGGTATTTTCAAAATTTTTGGGATCATTTATGCAAGAGTGAAATGGCAAGAATTAGCACCTAAGTCGTTAATTCAAATTATTTTGAAATTAAATGTGTCAACAATCTTTAAACGGTAAAATTTTGATTTGTAACTCTTAACTCAAGATAGCAGCCTTTAAAAATACCTAAAAAAAGCATTTAAAATTATTATTTTAAAAATTAAATTTTTTTGAATTTTAATAACTTAATTTTATTTCAACTAGATTGTTTCATGTAACTATTCAACTAATATTAAAAAATCAAAAAAAGTTTACAATAATGTTGACGAAATCATTGCTGATATACCAAGTGGCTCAAAAATATTGTTTGGCGGATTTGGTCTGTGTGGTATTCCAGAAAATATTATTGGCGCACTTTTAAGGAAAAAAATTAATAATATTACTGCTGTCTCAAATAATGGGGGTAGGTACCTATTTTTCATTTCAATAATAAAAAATTCATTAATAAGTAAATATGTATCTCCATAATGTCCAATTTTATTGGTTTACTTGATTTTTCCTTCTATTGCATACACATTTAATTCCTTTTTAATTTTAGGTGTTGACAATTTTGGTCTAGGATTATTAATAAAAGAAAGGCAAATTAAACGTATGATTTCAAGTTATGTTGGAGAAAATACAGAATTGGTTCGACAATTTTTAGCAGGTGAATTAGAAATTGAACTGACACCCCAAGGAACTTTGGCTGAACGAATTAGAGCAGGAGGAGCTGGAATTCCTGCATTTTTTACTCCCACTGGCTTTGGGACATTGATTCAAGAGGGCGGCTCCCCAATTAAATATTCAAAAGATGGTAAAATAGAAATTGCAAGTACTCCAAGAAAATCACAGACTTTTTCTGGGAAAAATTACATAATGGAAGAAGCAATATTAGGTGATTTTGCTATAGTTAAAGCGCATAAAGGAGATCCTTTTGGAAATTTAGGTAAAGTCGATTAAGTCTTGTTGGAATACATAGTATAATCATTAGCTAACAAGTTAATCAATATTTAAATTTCTTAAATTTCTATTTAAGAAATATTGTTATCTATATCTATACCATCCTATTATATTTTGTTTTAATTTCGTTCTAGTTTTTAATAAGGCAGCAAGGAATTTTAATGCGCCAATGTGTCGTGCAGCTAAAATAACTATTGCTGAAGTAGAAGAAATTGTCCCAGTCGGTTCATTAAATCCAGATGAAATACATGTCCCGGGAATATACGTTCAAAGAATAATTAAAGGAGATAAATATGTAAAAAGAATAGAAAAATTAAGGATAAGTGAAGAAAATGATGAAAAACCAAAATCACAAGAACAAAGCTCAGGAGCTTCATTAAGAGAAAAGATTGCTCGTCGAGTAGCTATGGAATTTAAAGATGGAATGTACGCAAATTTGGGAATTGGAATACCAGTTTTGTCAGCAAATTACATACCGAAAGGAATGAATGTATTTTTACAATCAGAAAATGGAATTTTAGGTTTAGGACCCTTTCCGAAGAAAAATGAAGTTGATCCTGATCTAATTAATGTAAGATTAAATTTTTCAAAGTTGATATTAACTATACAGCTGTTATCAATTATATCAGATGCAACTGCTAACTGTAGAATTTTGAAAGCCTTTCATTTAATTTTTATACATAAAGCTTTAAACCCTCTGCAGTTTGTAATTGCATCTGACATTATCGATCACATTTTATAAAATTAATACCATTCACTATACAAATACTTAAGTGACACATATTTTTTTCAATGAAAAAGTAGGCTGGTAAAGAAACTGTTACAATTATACCTGGCGCCTCTTATTTTGCTTCAGATGATAGTTTCTCAATGATACGTGGGGGTCATGTTGATTTAACAATATTAGGTGCTATGGAAGTTTCGCAATATGGTGACTTAGCTAACTGGATGATTCCGGTAAGAAAAAAGATTTACATACAATACATACATATGTAAACATAAATATGCACATAGTTAAAAGAAATCGGTTCTAAAAATTAAAAAATCTAGCTATGCTTGTGCATAAACATAATATTATGTATGCATGATAATATGCATAATATGTACTTATGCACATAATTTTGATTTATTTTTTTAAGGGCAAAATGGTTAAAGGCATGGGTGGAGCTATGGACTTAGTTGCAGCTCCAGGTAAGTAAAGTGATGCCGTTTCATATTACAAATTATGATCGATAACATATGTACATATAATGTTCTATTATAATATTTATATAATTATTTTATACATATACATATGTGTACATATGTATATACATACATAAATACAAACATATGTATAACTGAATTTTTCATGCACTACAGGTACTAAAGTAATTGTGACAATGGAACATAACGCAAAAAATGGGGCTCATAAAATATTAGAAAAGTGTTCCTTACCACTAACAGGCAGAAACTGTATCGATATGATAATTACAGAAAAGGTTGTTAATTATTTATTAAATTTTTATTGTTAATCTAATTAAAGATTTTTTAGGGCGTATTCACTGTTAATAAGGAAACTGGCTTAACTTTAATTGAAATTGATGAAAAGTATTCAACTGATGATATTAGAGCTGCAACCGGATGTCACATAAATATATCCGATAATTTGAAGAAAATGGGGCAGCTATAAAACCGTAAACTAAACAGAACATGCATATAGATGCATATACATGCATACTTACATGAATATCTTATTCAAAACTATATACTACATACGTGATACAAGAGGCATTTAAAATCGTCTTTATTTTATGTAGCTTTTTTTACGAATAATATTTTTTATTGTTAAAAATAAAATTAATAATGTACTACATTATAATATAATACTTACATACGTATGTATGTATCTTAAAATCAAATTTATATATTTTTGCATGCATACATACATATGTAAATAACTTTGTAAAATTTTGTACTTTTTTTTGCTAGAGGCTTTTTAAATTAAGGTCGGATTATCAATAGCTTTTACTGCCGAATGAAATAAAAAAATAAAATGAAATAAAAAACCCTCAGCCTTTTTTAAGGTAATCCTTCTCCGCTGCCGATTTTTAGACTAAATTTTTTATTGTCTTATCCAATTTCATGGTTCAAATTCAATTGCAATAACTAAATAACATTTCAGTTCACTAACAAATAAATTTCAATGTCAAGTTTAGATGAATTTTCAGTGAAATGGATTAAAATAGTCAATACGATTTTTACAGAAATCAGAAATCATTTCAAAATTATTATTATCCGACTCAAAAATAAAGTCCACGCCTGTATGTTTGTTATGTTCAAATAGTTTCTTAACAATTGACATATACTAAATGTCAACCACAATGTTGCTTTAACTAGGTGAAATTTTCAAAAATTTTTGAAAACATTAAAAATTGGAAAAAAAGGAAGAAAAAGAAATATTTCTTAATTATACAAGATTCTAATATTAAAAAAAAAACTTGTGAAAAAATTGCTAATCAATAGCATATGGAGCTTGGGTTTCTCTAAATGTTAATAATTTTTTAAATTAAAGAAACAACCTGTGATAGCAAAGAAATACAATGGAGGAAAGTCCTGTTCGAGGTCCAACATTATCAACTTCGACATCGAGGTATAACTATCAAATTTCGATTTGAATTATTAGTGGAATTCTCACATTTGAAAATAAATTTTCTAGTAGTTTTGAAGCAATGGACCCACATGATCCCAATTTAAGTAAATTGGCAACAAAAATGTTTAAAAAAACGGAAGAGTACATTTCGAATGAGCTTAATGGTTAGTAAATCTAATTAACTACAAGATCTAAATTTCAATTTCGCTTTCAGCTCCAATTGATGATTACAAGTTATTGGAAGATATGAATCGAGTTAGTTTAGAGAAGTATACAGAAATGACACATACGGCAAATTCTCTAGCTATTTCAACGTTAGACTTAAAAAATAAATTTGATGAATTGGTAAGTATAATATATTTACAAAATAACATTATTTTTATAAAAAATTATTTTTTAGAGGTCTCAACTTAATTATATTGACGAAATTGAAGATACTGTGGACAAATTGGAAGCTGCAGCTTACAAATTGGACGCATACTCAGTAGCCTTAGAAAATAAAATTAAAACAATGATTTATAAGAGTTCACAATAAGTGATTATCCATGTTCAATATACATTGTTATTTATTTATCCAAGAATTAATTTAATACCAATGGCAACAATATTAAGAAATATTAAGGGAACTGAAACATAAATAATGTAAATGACACATAAAATTTAAAGATTTCAAGTTTTTCCTTACTTTTAGCTACAGTTCTGATCGATCTGATTAAATTCAGGGCTTGTGATTTGAATGTAGGAGGCTCCCCAAATCCTTGTACACTTGAGTTAGAACCCCATCCAACTGCCATTATAAAACAAATGTTGAAACATGTTATTAAACCAAAAAGTAATCTTACATTTTGCCAAAAACCTTTCTTCATGTAAAACACAAATGGCATTGAGACATAATAGTGATGCTTCAACTAACGTCCAGAGCGTGAACATAATTTAAATTAATAACATACAACCAACAAAAACTAAAATAGAAAATGTTTTCTGTAGCTTTGATACGTATTTTGTAAATATTCTACATATATAAAAACAATTGGGCAAAAGGAATATAGGATGACTACAAAGTAAGCATACTTAGCAACGCCTTTGACAATTTTTAGTATTGCATTATGATGTGATGATTGACGTGACATTTCCCTTGATTTTATTATGAAGTTTCGATATGCTTGCGTCGACTGTGGTGGGCGGCATTTTTTTAGCGGGAAATATTTCTTTTAGCAATGAAGTATTCTAGAACAATCTAAAAACAGGAATTCAACCCTGCTTATGTTTTGGACAGAAAACACTTTTTGTTTTGGCAACCTTTGCGTTATGAACCTAGAACGGGAGCGGAATGGCAAAATAAATTAAACAATATTTTGCATATAGTAATATCACACACTCATGGAAGCAGATAATGTCATAAAGTGGAATCAAGGCTATTTCACCGCCAGCGATGAAATTCGTGGCGATAATTTTGCTTGATTCTAGATTGTCGCATTTAAATATGCGTATTCTATATAAGTTTTGAAATTCGCCGCAAAAATCGGTCTTGTCTGTTGCCAACTTAAGGTGGTGTTCTTCCTCGCTGTGGTATCGTGGCATTTTTTACTGAATGTTACTTTACCCAGCATTTACACATACAAGTTACTTGCATGCAAGTTTGTATAATATTAATTGTCAATTAGTTGTTCGAAATGTCAAATTACTTGCTATTATGACGTAGGCGTTTAGCAAGTTAATTTTTGAAAATGTCTTTGAGAAGAAAACAACTAGCAATATATATAATTGTTTATAAATTTTAGAAACCATAAGTTTGCTAAGTTTAATTTTTTCAAAACAAAATTCAAAAATTTTAATTTAAAAAAAAAAAAAATCAAAACAACAAATTTTTTTTTGTGAATTTCTCAATATGTCAAATTACTTGCTCAAATTACTGGCAGCAAAATTTTCTTGCAAGTTGAACTGCAAGTAAACAAGCAAGTAGAAATATTTCAATGTGTTAGTAAAATTTTTGTATGTATTGCAACTTTCTTGCAAGTAACTTGTACGTGTAAATGCTGGGTTATCGACATCAGTATTTTGGATTTATGTTTTATAATAAAAAGATAGAAATTAATTAATTAAATATTCATTATATTTAAAATTATTTTACGATTTGATTTCACAAATAGAACCGTTCTAAATTCCATTTCTATTTTTGATTTCTTGATGTAATACTATCCGCCAAGTTGAAATTATTTTCTAAAATTTTGCAATCGGAAAAAGTTACAATTCTAAATATTTTAAAAATATATAAAATCAGTAGACCTGAAAATATTAATCAATTTCCGGCATCCCTTCCACTTAGACTCCATATAAATTTGGAATCTGTTTTTGAGGTAGTCTCTAAGTTTGGTGGCCTAATAGATATATGGAATATAAGGCGTTATCTCGATGTATTGATGAACAATTCTTGAATATTGAAGACGTTACGATAATTTTTTAGTTGTAAATAATTTTAAGTGTTATATTACAAAATAAGAAACCCTAAAACGCAACCTGCTTTTTAAATTAATAATTGTTGAAACTGTATTTTCGACAAAACTATGAAATTGGCATTACTGGGTGCCATTGCCACTTGCCAAAGTCAAACGAAACGAGAAAGACATATTACCTAACCGAGAGTTTATGAAAAGAAGAAAGAAGGTTATAATTATAAATAAATGAAAATAAATACATTTTCATTCAACTCGACCACACAGTTTGAGAGTAAAAAAATTTTAAAAAGTAGATATTAGGAGAAATTTGTTGATATTTTTAAAGCAAAATAGAAATTAATTAAAAAAAATTCTAATAAAATTAAAAATTTTAAATTAAGATAGATAAGACTTTGAAATATAATTTGGTATTGAAGATTATAAATTTTCTCTACTTGAAGTGTCTCACTAAAATACGCATCGGTCTCGCTTTGTAGGCCATATTATATTTATCATAATCAGATACACATAATATATATAAATATACATACCTACATATATATTGTAATTTGTATTAAATAAAATCTAAAAATGTATCAAAATATGTAATAATATGTACATGGGTTAAGAATAAATTTCTAAAATTTGAAGAGTGTATTATAAGAAAAAAAAAAATTAATTTTCCTAAATAATTGTGTCTGAAATTTGAAATTTCTATTAGTATTATAAAATAATCGTCTTATTTTATTTAAAGACTGACAAAATTAAATTTCGCATGAGGAAGAAGAAAGTAAACCATTTTACTAAATATTTAAATATTGTTTTGGAATTAACAAATTAAAAGTGAAATTGTAAATATTTTTATTTTATGGAGTGCAGAAAACATAAATATTTGCGAAAAACTTTATAGTTCAGTATAAAGAAATTTTGAAAATGGCAGATACAGTAATAGTCCTTAGCTCTGATGAAGAAGACTCAGAGCATAATGCTTCGAAATGGGGTATGTACTTCGAAAGGATTTTTTTTAAATATTTATGTAATTTTAATAGTTCTTATTGATAAATAGAAAATTAAATAATTTATGCATGTAGGCAAGTATAAAATGTTGAATATTTGCAACATTTTTTTGGAATTGTATATTTTCGAAAAAATGTTGCACACACAAATCAATTTGAAATGCTTGGGTAACTCAAGACGTTATGAATCTGTTAGCAATTTTTAAATGAAAGGTATAGAACATTCTTTAATTTTTTCTGTTGACATTATTACAAACGACTAAATTTAAATAAAATTTTATTATACATAGGTAATATAGGCATAATATGGATATTAAACAGTTCGCTGTTTAATCCATTGTGCTTTTAAACAAAAAATTAACAAATACTTAAATGTAATTAAGTACTTATTAAAGAAATGTACATCTTTTTGTAGAAAGTTAAAAACCATTTTTATATCTACACGTTGGTAGATTGTTGGACCAACATATTGGTACGCACCTACCTATTATAATAAAATATCTAGCTAAATAATATTTAAGCTAAAAATGTTTTTTAATATAATTTAGATGATCAGGCAAATAAACATATGTACGTAGCTACCTAGCTACCTACCTATATTTTGTTTTATCAGAAAACTTCCATATCATACTTTAACAACTTTGATTATATATTTTAAGGATCGTCAGGTAGATAGAAAAGTTTAGTTTAGTTTTTTTTCATATATTAATCACTTCTGTTATTATATTTGAATATGTAGCTATTATAAGGTATCATAAATAATTTTCTAGAGTACCTAAAGTATGTTTATTTAAATTAAATCAATTTTTTTAGACCTTCAGGTAGGTTATTAGACATTTTTATTGTTTATATGTTTTCATTTCACTCGGTTGGAAAAGTTTCTTTTTTTGTATAGGTAATTAGATGTATTTCTTTAACAAAAATTAATTTCAAGAATGAACAGAACTTATACAAGCCGTGCCGTGATACACGCCATATTTCATTGGAAATATACTAAAACAAATTGCACATATGAACTGGTTTTTTTGAAAGTGGTATAAGTCCACTTTTTAAAAAGGCTGAGTTAATGGTAATTTTAGTGAGTTATAGACACCTTCTCTCCACTATTTAAAATCACAATTTGAACAGAGTTCTATGCAGACATGAAAGAAAAACATTATGTTATTATGAGCAATATTTTTAAATGGATTCAAAAGCAAGCCCTTAAATATATGAATATATAAAGAAATAGACTTATACCACTTTCAAAAAAACAGCTCATATATACATATATGTATCAGTCAAATTAATGCTAAAATTATGAAGCATATTCAAGTGATTAAGGGCAATGTTAAGATTACACGCATACTAGGATTGCAATTTGAAGTTTCTGTAACATAATTAGTTTTATAGTTCTTAGTTATTTTTATTGAAAATTTCGATTATTTTTTGACCAAAATTTTGATGTATTGTTATATGCCTAATGTGTGTACACTCTCACTTAATTATATTAAAATACTAGAATCTAAAAAACTAAAATAAGCTAGTTTTTTTAATTTTTAAATATTATTTCTTTTAAGATGCTAATTTAGCTTCAGTTTACATAGGTTAGGAATATATGTTTTAAGTTTACTTATCAGTTTAAAAGTTATTGTAAAACTAAAAAGGGTTTTACCAACTAATATATTTATATTTTGTTTTGGTCATCTTTCAGAAAGGGGAATATCAATGAATGTTCCGTTGCAAGTACTAAGGCGTAAAGTGATAGAAATATTATTTCAGTACAACTCTGGTGGCTTTGGTATTTTTCCCTACGATAAACTTCGAGAATTTGTCGGAGAATTTCAAAAGGTTCTTAAACTCTTAGATAAAAGCTCTATTCCAAAGATGAAATTTTTTTGGAAAACCATTATACAATGGGTAATGGCAATTAAAATGGCATTTACTGGAAATGTCGGAGATGTGAGCTGTTTATTTTGTTAATTATATTTGCATAGAATTTTAATATGTTCGCTTGAATTTTTTAGTTGAAAGAGGATCTAAAATTGAATATTTTACTCACTGATATAATGGCTGAATACGTGATGTTTAAGTGTAATATAACGTTGAAATTATCGAATGATAAAGCTGAAACCGAAAACTCTGCTAATTGTATTATCCGTATATTGAGTATGGTATTCAGCAGAAATATTTCATTTATACAGATGACGATGTTAAAAGTTGCAATTATTCCAAAATATCATGACATTTTAAATCCTATATTTTTGTAAGTATTAATTTAATTAACGTAATCAATGGAATTTATAAAAAAATGGTATTTTTTTTTTAGAAAATGCATGTCAGATGAAGAACATCCAGTTAATGAAGATCTTATATCATATTTGCGAGTCATATTTTATTTTAGGCAGTGGAAAAATCTTTGTAGCACAAAAGAGGAGAAAGAAAAAATTAATATCTTAGCTGTAGGACTGTCCAAAAAAGCTTTGAGAAGTAGTAATACAATAGATTTAGTATCAGATACTGTGTTACCCAAATATGTTCCACCAGTAAATGAATTAAATAATTCATTTCCATCTATAAGTGATTTAATTAAATTTGCTATGGATAAAGGAAATTTTGGAACCAGGTAACATTAAACTCAATTTTAAAACGGAGTTGTTATAAAAGTTTTTTTTTATTAAATCTTTCAGAATATTATTAATTAATAAATCGTTAAATCTTAAAGAAGCTATTGAAAGATATTTTAAACAACTTGAACGCTATATAAGTTGGGTGGATTTCCAAGCTTACAGCTTAGATGATAAGGACTACGATTATACTAGTTCAAATTTGGTAATTGTTATAACGATTGTATTAAGTGAATTTTAAACGATATTTTATTGAGCAACTTGTCTGATAGGTTTTCTTAAGAGATATCCAATTGTCTTATTACAATTCTGAAACATTTTTACTTAATTAAAAGCACAAATCTTGTCCTTTTTTAAGGATGTTAAAATCAATATTTTCATTTTTAGTTTTATATGAATGTCCAATTTAGTCTGTAAGTGAACTAATATCAATACTTTACACAAAAATTTTTTTTTGCAGAATACCATATTGTTAACAATCAATATAAAAGTTCCATTTTTAAAATTTTGTTGGATTTAAATTTTTTAAATTTAAGTATAAATTTATCATGTATTGTCTTTTTACATTGATTAGTAGAAACAATACGTGGGAATGATATTTAAAATAGTTTTAAATTTTTTTTTTCTTAGACCTTTTTGTAAAAGTTAAAAGTTTTTACACAAATTGTGAACTAATTAATAGAAAAATTATTTTATATAACATGAAGTAATAATTACAATTACCTTATTATCTTCAATCAACACTGTTGCTGATAAAATAACCGGTAAATAAGCCTATAAGTCATATTAAACGTTTAACATAAAAGTATATCGGCTCAAATTGTGTTCAACTGGGTTCTTAGTAGATTGAAAATACATGAAAATATTGAAAACATCACAATGGAACACAATCACATCAAGTGTGTTTAATATTGCATAACACGAATGTCAACAATAAATAGTTGAAGCAATTGTTACAATGAGGAGAAATTATATGAAACTAATGAAATCATTTCATTAATACAGCTCCTAATATAAAACTTTTTCTAGACAAGAAAGCTCAGTACGGTGTGACTGTAAAGAAATTAAATTGTGTATTGATAAAAATTATAAGGATATGCAGTTGATATTTTCATTTGTGTATTCATATTTAGCAATTGAAATGTTCAGGAATTTAATTGGTTGCAAATTTTTGGTAAGTATAAATGTACAACATTGTAGTTGTAATAATAAAATCAGCAATCAACACTAAAAAACAATTATAAGATGGTAGAAAAAATTTTGAATTTAAATTTAAATTCAATATTAATAAAAGGAAAGCCAAAAAAAGTAAAGAAAAAACAAAAATCTAAGACCCAATTTTATATCAAGATTCCTGTAGGATATGTTTTTAAAAATGTTATTAAATAAGAACACATTTTGTTGAATATAATGAAGCGCAAAAACTAACTAAATTATAAAATAAATGGCTTTCTCATATGATATTTAAAAAAAACTATAGCAGAAAAAATTTATACAGAAAAAGTTACATATTCAGTGGAACAAAAATAAATACATGGGAAATGGTAGCTCATTCAACCAATACACGATAAAATTAATCAATACACACTTAGAATTTCTAGTCAATTTTTGGAAAATGTTACACGCACATTATTCCTTAAAATGAAAAATTGAGTTCTGTACAAAATTGGAAAACAAAATAAAAATAAAAATTTATTGTTTTTCAAATATGCGTAAGCAAAATAAAATTATTTCATTATTCCATTTCATAAATCCAACAATGAATTAAATTTAATTAATTAAACTAAAGTGCGATGGGTTTCAAAACAATGAAAGGCGACATCATCAGAACAATGAAGATAAGACACTTTAAAAAAGATATTTCAAAAGGAGGAAGCACATCTTTTGAAATGAAAAATCTTTAATAAATCTCAAATTTAGGGTATCAATCAACTTTTTATATTTATTTGAAATATGACATCAAATGTTTCTTCAATCAACCATGCTTGTCTTCAACTGAATCAATTTTGAACGAATCATCCACAATTAATGTGATCTTCAATCAACACACTATCTTCAATCAACATTGTCTTCAATCAACTCTATATCTAATTAATTTTCTTCAATCAACTCTATATAATATTAATTGTCTTCAATCAACTCTATATCCTATTAATTGTCTTCAATCAACTCTATGTCCAAGATTATTAATTGTCTACAATCAACAATATCATTATTCAATAATGTCTTCAACTAGAATTTTGACTTATAGCAACTTACTTAATATTCTCTTTAATTAAATTAATATTTTTTAAATAATTAGCTCATAACAGCGATACTAATTATTTATCTCTTTTATTTTAAATTTTGATATTTATATAGATTTTTTAAATATTTATTTAAATTAATATTTAATTTAGATTTATTAAAGTTTTTTTGAGTTATATAAAGAAAACTGATAAGCAAAATCGAAATTTTGAAAACAAGGAATCCAACTTCCTTAATTTTTTCTCAAAAAATAAGGTATTTTAATATTTATCTTTATTTTTATTTTTCTTTTTTTTGCCATAAATATAGAATTATATACAAACTCCTATAACACGTTTCAACTTAGATCAACATCCAGTGTCAGCATTACCAAATTTTGATCCCGAATATGATCAAATGTTGCCAAGAGTGTTAAAATCAGCAGCAAATACAGCCCATCTTGATTTTTCAAAGAAGACATCATTTAATGCAATGACGAATCGGCATTTAAATTGTGATAATAGTAGTAGTAATATTAATTTTAGTAATCATTATAAGACTTGCGATAATAATTCTATAGCTAAGAAGTTAAATATTAATAATGAAAATACTGTAACCGCAACCACCTCTAACACCACCAACAAGACTAGTAATACTAACATTAATAATAACGCAATATTATTAGATTCTGATTCAGAAGATGAAGAGGTAAGAATCTTTGTTACTAAAAAATTTGTCGAACAAAAAAGTCTTTTGCAAGCGCAAACTCTACCTAAACCTATAAGCCAAACACCACTGAAAAATTCTGCAAAACCTCCTGTTATCGAAGGTAATAAAACACGAGTTAAAAAAGCAAATACTCCAAATAATCTCGCATTGATTCCCAAGCAACCGTGTTCAAGCAATCGTTTCCAATTTTCGATGCGTAGACCCCAAATGTTATCAGGACCATCAAAAAAGCTAAAAGATTGTATCCCGGGCGAAGTATCTAGTACAACTGAAAGTGATAATGATTTAGAAATATTTAGAAATAGGAGAAGTGACGATAGTAGTATTATGCGAGAAGTTGATGAAGCAACATCTTCAACTTCTAGTGGTAACGAAAATTTAGGATCTTTTTTGGAATTTTCTAGTCAACCCTTAGGTGTTAATAATCGTATTGAAAAATCTCTTAATAAAATCAGTGACGTTAGAAAAAGTTCCTCCTTTAATCAAAACAATTTGAGTAACAATACACAAAATCACGATTCAAAATTACAATCCTCACTCCTACAAGACGCAAAGGATAAAAGCTCTTCAGAATCGCTTAATAATGTACAACACGAAGAGAAACCGAAGTCCAGTGTGTCAACTCTTTCTCCATTACAATGTTCTTCATCTGTTTTGAATTCGCTGCAAGAAGAAGGCAGTGTAAGAAAAAAAGACGAAACTCAATTAAATGACTCCACTAATATTACGTGTAACTCGCAAACGCAATCATCATCACAAAAGTTGAAATTAGATAAAAAAGCTTTGTTGCCATATTCAATAAGTTTAAATTCGTTTGCTTTAACTGCAAGGACCACAAATCCAAACGAGAAGAATTTAAATTTGTCATTAGAATCTAAAAAAAATGATGAGCACGGAACAGAAACAACAACTGTTATTAATGCTGTTATAAATAAAGTCAGTTGTAGTAGTGAATTACTAAACGGAAAAGTCGAAGATATTGAAAGCTGTACTTCTATTAATAATAAAGAAATTATTGGTAGTGGAATAAACACAGTACAATTGAAAAAGTTTTCGCGAGATGAAAAAGATAATAAAAGTGAACATTCGGAAAAAACTAAAAGTACTGATAAAGGTTCAAATAACGAAAATGTTGTTTTTTCAGTGAATTTAACATTTTCGTCCTCAGCACCTTCATTAACATCTTCTCCAAACGATGAAATATTAGAAGACAACAGATTAAACAAAGTTGTTTTTTCTAGTAATTCTGGTAGCATTGGTACTTCATACGAAGTAAATTGCACAGCCAAAAACCAATCCAAAGGTTTAATGGATAAAGTAAAGAACTTTAAATCTTTAACTTCGGCTAAATCTGGATCAACAGGAAATGTCAAATGTTCTAACCTCAAAGCAAAGTCACTCGATTTGGGGTTAAGCCACCGATTTTCAAAAAATACAAATGAAAATAGTAATTTTCTAAAAGAATGTGATACCTTAAATATTGCTCCATATGCCAAACAGGAAAAAAGGTGTTCTAGACAAATTACTGCGGAATTGGAAATTAAGAACATACCGAAATCAAATATGACAATACCTGTTGAGTCTGGGGTTGCAGATAATGTTAGAACTATTTCAACTGAAAATGAACAACCGGGATCAATTAATTTAAAGGAGTTTAATAAAAGTTTAGAAAACAAGGATACTCTAATTAAAAATGCAGTGGAAATTAATAATATTTCAGAGGCCGAATTAAATGATTATAATTTTTCAGAGAACAATGACAAAGATATAAATAACTGCAAATTTGATTTGCCAGATTTGGATAATTCATGTCTCAATACAACTATGTTGGTTAAACCCAGCGAAATATCTAAAAGCATTTTAATTGGGAAAAAAAATGATTCAAAAAGCATGCATGAAAGTTTAAAATTGGTATGCAATAGTTCAGAAAGTCTAAAATTAAAATTAAGTGCAGATGAGGCTCAAAAAACACAAAACATAAAGGTTTGTGGAGATGTTGCTGACAACACTAAACAAAATATAAAAACTCAAGATAATGAGAAAATAGCTTTATGTAAACAAATCAGCAAGGAACATCACGATTGCAATAATGAAGGGAAAAGCGTTGAAATGTATGATAATCCCAGTAAAACAAAAACTGGAAACACTTCTATTATGTTAGAATTTGGAAAAAATCGCGAAACCGCAGAAATTGTTGAAAAACCAGAAAATCTCGGTAAAACGGACATGAAAATTAATAAGAATATAACAGATCAGTTCAATATTTCTTTGAATAATAGCACAAAGATTGATAATAAATCTAAATTTGGGGGAAGTTTTAAAAACGACAAATTAAAACTTGATAAAAGTTCTGTTGTGAAACCAAAAAGTGGTCAAAAAATCAATGAAATAGTCGATAAAATTTCAAAAAAATATATGGAATCACAAACTAAGAATCTCTTAACTTTAAATAAAGTAGAAAATGATGAATGTGAAATTAAATCTCCTGTTATAAATTCACAAATACAAAAGGAGGTAAACGACACAACAACTGTTGAGACAGAGAAAAAAACTGATATGGATATCATAGTTTTAGATATTCACGCACAAGAAAAACTAATGAGTGAAAAATTCAATAATAACATTGATTTATCGGAACAAAATAAAGTAATGACAGAAAGAAATCTTATTCAAGATGAAGCAATCCTAAATGATAAAGATCGAAACCTTAACACTTCTTCTGATCAAACAAAAAAAGTCGATTCAGTTGAGAACGTTTCAAACACTAGTACTAAACTTGAACAAATAAAGGAGATTTCTACTTCTGAAGAAACCAGCAGAAAATGTAAGGATAGTAAAACTTTCGAAACAACGAAAACCACTGTAATTTGTAAACGAACCAGCGCTGACGAGAAAATAAAGCAAATCGCAAAGAATATCGAAAATTTTGCTGAAAATTATATTGCAAAAGATATTACGGAGCCCGAGCAAATTAATGAAGAAAATTCTAAAATTGAAAAGAAAAGTAATGAAGCGTTAATTAACTGCAATGTTGTCAGTGACAATAAATCTATTGAATGTAACAGAAAACAAGTAAATAATACTGGCAATTTCAAAGTACAGGAAACGTTTGCTAAAAGCGATATCAGTGTAGATCAAAAATTAAAAAAAAAAGAAAAAATTGCAGCGGGTGGAAACATCGAATCTTGTAAAATTGAGCATTCCGATAGGGAAATAAATGAAATAAAACCAAATGATAACGTAAATTGTGATGATAACGACAACAAAGTTTCAAATACTTCTGTTAAAGTTGCGGCAAAGGGTAATGATGTTTTAAATGAAAAAACTAAAACTGCAGAATTGGACAATAATGTAAAAACATTTATCGGAGGGGCTATTAGTCAAATTAGTACCTCTAATCAGCATGTTAAACATGAAAAATTTTTGCTAGAAAATTGCAGTAATCGTATAACACCGCACAATATTTCAAAAATAAAAGACCTGGAAACTAAAACTAGTATTTTGGAAAACAGTGAAAATTTGATAAATTCAAGCACGGAAAGTTATAGCCTTTACCCATATAAAAGTCAAGATGATCAAGATGTTCCCGAAAAAGTTTCAATTTCGGGAACTAGCAGTGATTCATTTGATATTGCATTTAAAAATGATGAAAGGAAAAAGCAAGCTACAGAAAAGATTAAAAACCAAAATGTAGAAAATGATATTTCTACTTTTAAAGAAATTGAAACTGAAAAAGAAACATCTGTTGTTAAACCTATAGAAAAATCAGGGAATGAAGCAAATGAAACGATTACTGAAATTAAATGTGTAGAAAAGTCACATAGTGTCCCACGAGAAAAGCCTGTTGAAGTTCCGATATTAGAACTAGATGCAAAAAGTGAAAGCTCAAAATACGTAGAAAAACATTCATTTACAAATCTATCGGAAGTTGAGACTTTAGCAGTAGAGAGTTACAAGAATCACGAAAGCACCGTTAATGATCTTGATAACAACAACAGAACTGTTAAACACGAAAAACTTTTGCTAAAAAATAGCAATAATCGTCCAACACCAGTTCAGAACACCACTGCAAAAAAACGGGAAACGCACGAGATTTCCAAAATAAAACACCTGGAAACTAAAACCAATATTTTGGAAAACATTGAAACTTTGATAAATTCAAGCACGAAAAGTCATAGTCTTTACCCGTACAAAAGTCATGATGATCATGATGTTCCCGAAAAAATTTCAATTTTGGGAACTAGCAGTGATTCATTTGATATTGCACTTAAAGAAGATGAAACGAAGAAGCAAGGTACAGAAAAAATTAAAAGTCAAAATATAGAAAATGATATTTCTGCTTTTAAAGAAATGGGAACTGAAAAAGAAACATCAGCAGTTGAACTTATAGAAAAATCAGGGAATGAAGCAAATGAAACGATTACTGAAATTAAATGTGTGCAAAAATCACATAGTGTCCCACGAGAAAAGTCTGTTGAAGTTCCGATATTAGAACTTGATGCAAAAAGTGAAAGCTCAAAATACGTAGAAAAACATTCATTTACAAAACTATCGGAAGATGAAACTTTAGCAGTAGAGAGTTACAAGAATCACGAAAACACCATTAATAATCTTGATAACAACAACAGAACTGTTACACACGAAAAACTTTTACTAGAAAATAGCAGTAATTGTCCAACACCAGTTCAGAACACCACTGTAAAAAAACGGGAAACGCATGAAATTTCAAAAACAAAACACATGGAAACTAAAACCAATATTTTGGAAAACATTGAAAATTTTAAAAATTCAAGCACGAAAAGTCATAGTCTTTACCCGTACAAAAGTCATGATGATCAAGATGTTCCCGAAAAAGTTTCAATTTCGGGAACTAGCAGTGATTCATTTGATATTGCACTTAAAGAAGATGAAACGAAGAAGCAAGGTACAGAAAAAATTAAAAGTCAAAATATAGAAAATGATATTTCTGCTTTTAAAGAAATTGGAACTGAAATGGAGACATCTGTAGTTAACCCTATAGAAAAATCAGCGAATAAAGCAAATGAAACGATTACTGAAATCAATTTTAAAGAAATCAAATGTGTGGAAAATTCACATTGTGTACCACGAGAAAAGCCTCCTGAAATCTCAATACAAAAACTTGATACTAAAATTGAAAGCTCAGAACACGTAGAAAAATGTTCATTTACAAATCTATCGGAAATTAACACTTTGGTAGAGGAAAGTAACAAAAATCACGAAAACACTGTTAATAAACTTAATGTCGCAGATTGTATTGATTCATTTAAGGAGATAGAAAGGAAAGGTTCCAGAGAAATTGTAAACACGCCAAAAGTTTCCCTTCCATTTGACAAAGTTGAAGTTGGAGAAAAATGCTCAAAAGTTTCAAAAATTTGTAACGAAAGTATATTAAGCAAAGATGAAAAAAGAAATGTTAAAGATGATTTAATTGAAATGGATGCTGACCAATTTAAATTTATTGATAAAAAAATTGAAAATAATATAAATGCAGATTCATTAGGTGATACCGGTAATATTCAAAAATCATTAGAAAGTTCATCATTCAAAAAAGGAGTGGTGGAGGCGTCTTCAAATTCAAAACAAAATGTCATACAAAGCGACGATAATGAAGAAAAAAGTGAATTGAAAGATGGTAATTTTTCACAATTAAATGTTAAAAAAATAGACGATAATTTTGTAAATCAAAGTATTTCTGGAATTGTAGAAGAAAAGTCAGTTGTGGATAGTAAAGTTATAGACAGCTTGCCTATAGTTACTGTAATTTCGGATCAACAAAATTATGCTGACAAAGAAATAAAAGGCAATAATGAAATCGTGGCTCTGGCTGTAGAAAAATCAAAACTTAAGAATGTAATTAAAAATTGTAGCAGCTTTTCAAATGAAACAAAAGAAAAAAATATAGTGAATATAAATGATTCGAAACAAGAAATTAAAACAATTTTAAATAAAAGAAAAGAATACAAAACTAACAACAAAATCGAGCTCAATTTGAAGCCTAATACTGAGAATTTAATCGAAAAAAATTTGAATGTACATGTTCACGGAATTAATTTTGAAACCCCAAATATGTTGAATTTATCGGTAAATAAAGTATTTAAAGAAAATACACAAATATTTGTAGAGCCTGAGCATTCTAAACAAAATCTCGAAAATAAAAATACATTTGAAAATGTTAAACCTGTTGTAAACTCAGATAGCCAAACTAATTTTGAGTCAAATTTAATCAAAGAATCTAAATTTGAAAGCAAAAAGAAAGATCAAAATACTTTAACGGTTGAACAAGAAAAAGTTATTGAACTGAATACAATTAAAAACACTGTTGAAACTTATGTGAAAAACGAATCAAGTGTAAGTACAATAAGTGATCAAAGCTTTAAAAGTAAAACCCACAATTCAAATATTGGTCCAGATCATTCAGTTTCAAATTTGAAAAACTGTGAGGATGAACGTGTCTCTAATGATAATTCAGGATTCTTACAATTGAATGTGAAAAATGAGCAACTTTCAACTAGGATAAATAATTTAGAAATTCAAAATGACAATGACAAATTTTCGCTCACCTTAAATAAAGATCCTGCGAACATAAATTCTGAAAAAATTCAAAATGCTGTCGAATTTTCCGAAAATGATTCTAAAATGAAACCAATCACTGTTAAAGATAAGAAAGATAAATCAAATTACTTTGTAGAAGCAATTGGAAGTATAAAAAAAGATGTAAATATAGATAACATTACCAATAGTATTATAACGACAAATAATGATTCAACCTTAACTGATATTGTGGTTGATAACAAAGAAAAATGTGTTAAATCGTTTGACCATGTAACTTTCGACTCTAATAATAATAAGTCCAGTAAAATATTTACTAATGATGTGAAAACTAAAAATATACAGTCTATTAATTCCCCAAATTTGGAAAATTTGAAAAACGAAAATAAGTCTAAAATTTTAAAAACTGAAAATAATTTAGAAGGAATCAAAAATAAATCTTCATTAGAAAGTAAAAATGAGAAAAAGAAATCTATTGAAAAAAATTCTTCATCAAAGAGCGTAACTATAAAAGAACAGAAAAAAGTTAGAGATATGGAAAAACGAAGTGGGAACACAAAAAACAATATTATTTGTACCAAAGAAAATAAAATTCAGAAAACAACAAATAAACATTTTGTTAGCCATGAAGGTGTTACAGAAAAAACATTAAGAGTTGCTGAAAAAATGACTAGGGATTTAGACAAAAGTTCGAATGAAATCATTAGAAAAAAATCTGAAATTGTTCAGAAAGAAAAATCAATATCTACTACAAAAGAAACAATTGTAAGAAGTCAAAAAGGTAGCGAAAAATATTCATGTGAAAAATCGTCTGACACTACGAAAAAAGGAATTAATTCCACACAAAATCTTGAATCCATTAAAGCTAAAACTTCTGATAAAAAACCAAATGATACTGTTTTCACAAAAAGTGTGAAACAAGTTAAAAAAGAAGATAAAAGTGAATCAAATTCAAAAAATAATAAAATTTCCGAATCTTTTAAAAGAAATAGTTCAAGCAAAGACTCTTGTCAAAAGGTTGGAACTCATGAAAATATAAGTGTTTGTAAACTATTAAATGATGAAGGTATAAAATCTAATCGAAAAGATGAAATCAAAACTTCCTCTGGAAAATTACAAAGTATTTTGCAAAAAGAGGCAGAAAATAAGAGTACAAATAAAATTAAAATGCAAAAAATTTCTGATGAAAGTTTGGGAGCTAAAGACTTAAAAGGCAAAGATGATGTCAAATCAGAAAAAAATAATTTGCAAACTAAGTCGGAAAATGATGTGAAAAGTAAAGAATGTAAGCATAAGAAAGATAGCCGAAAAGAAATGAAAGAACTTAAAAAAGAATATGACATGAACAAGAAACAATCTAGTAGAGAAACAACAACAACTTCTAAAGTTAATGGGAAACATTGTACAGATAGTAATAAACAAACTTCAGAAAAGGAAATGAGTTTCAAAGGAAGTGTTATAAAACTTGATGAAATACCAGAAAGTAAAAGGGACGGAAATAGGTTGGAACTTGAACTAAAAATCAAATCGAAAAGTAAAAATCATATGAGCAAATCGGTGACTTCCGAAAAACTTTCATCAGAAAATAAGAATTCATTAAAAGTGAAGGATACGAGACAGACGAAAAAATTAGTACCAACAAAAACCATTAACGATTTAATTGAAATTCCAAAAAACAACGATTTATTTAGTTTAGAACTGAATTCTAATCCTAAAGAAATTAAAAACTTTAAAGAAACTGCAATTTTAAAAGTTACGAAAGATACTTCAATTTCTGAACCTGTAAATAAGCTTCAAAATAAGGAAGAGGATAAAAATAAACTAAATAAAATTTGTAAGAATCAAAAATTTTCAAGCAGTTCAGAAAGTTTAAAAAATACAATAAAAGATGAAAAGAATAAAATATTAAATATTTCATCCGTAACTGATATTCCAAAGAAGAGGCATTATGACAACTCTAATTCTATTACGAAAGAACCTGCCGCGAAAATTTCTAAAAAAGATACTTCATTTTTACAAACAACTACATGTATTGATACTAAAACTGATGTTTCTAAAATAAAACTGAAAGATCACGTAACTTTGAAAAATTGCCAAAATGTTAAGCTAAATAACGAACAAAATAAATCTGATCAAAATATACAAGCTATAAAAACAGAAAATAAAGAGGTTTTACAGAAATCAGTTGACTTAAAATTTCCTAAGATAGTTTCTGTAACTGATATAAAAAAGCAAAAGTTTGATGTTTACGAATTCAATGATGATGACGATGACATTTTATCACCTACTTATGAAAAAATTGAGCATGGTAAATGTGATGTTAAAGATAATAAATCAAACGTAGTACGAAAAATTTTTGAAAGTAAAGCAAAAAAAGAAATAAAAGATAATCGAAAAGAAATGGATTCCGTACATAACATAGAAAAAAATTTAGAGCAGAAAGCATCAGCTCCAAAAAATATTGAAAGCGAAGGATACACATGCAATAGTAAAACCCCCATAACTTATACAGAAATGGCAAATATTTTAGAACGTGCTGAAACTGAATCTTCTTTGAGTTCTTCAAAAGTAGATGATCGACCCTATATAGATGAGAAAAGAAATATTTACAGAAATCCTTGTCATTTAAAAGATTTTGAAGAAAAAAATGAAGTCGAAGATATTAAACCTCCAGAATCGAAAAGGAAAAAAGCTGGCAAACAAGGTAAATCGAAAAAACGAGGTGGCAGTAAAAATCAGCAAACGAATAAAGAAAGCAATGATTTAAGCGAATCATTAATTGAAAAACCTCCTTTGACAGTCTGTTATGTGACAACCACTTTCGACAATATGAATTCTGATGACAAAAATACACCAATAAAGTTAAGAATGAAACGTTTAAGTCGGAGTATTGATCATACAGAAAATAATAAGTCAAATTCGATAGAATTTTTTAATTTACAAAAAACCTCCAGCGAAAATGACAAAACTCAATTTACTTTGGATAATTGTATAAACAACACAGATCAAAAATTTTCTTCGCCTACGAATTCTAAAGAGAAGTTAAACGAAGTCAAAGTTGAATCCACCACCAATGAAGTAATAGAACCAAAACATAATAGTGAACCTCAATCAATTTATGATAATGAAAAAAAGAAAGGACGTTACAAAAAAGGAAAGATTGCAAGCACTTTCGAAGAAAAGGAATGTTCAAGCAATTTGGATGACATTGAAACTGAATCAGTTTCTAGCAAACTTAGTTTCAGTGACGATGACATCAATAGCGACAAAAGTTATATAAAAGGGGCAAGAAAACATAAAAATTTTGTTAACAATAAATGCAGAAAGAGGGGACGACCAAAAATTGATGATTCAAGTTCGGTTACCACAGATGACAATATTCAATCCGGAAGTGAATTGATCATTGAAAATGATAATATAAAGAACATTGAAAAAAATAATAGTAAAAAATTAAAATATGAAGAACATAGAGAGAAAAATGAAAACAGACATGAAAAATTAGAAGAAAAAAAAATTAAAGAAGACATGATCAATGATGATAAAATTGACTCTTCAAATGAAAAGGAAATAGGAGAGAAAGAATTGAAGGCGGTTTTACAAGATGTTATAGAGCTTTCAACAAAATTGGAAATGAGTAGTAGAACAGATTCAAATATTTCCGAAACCTTAAATTCCAAAGATCACAAAATAATAAAGGAAACCGATGTTAGAGTGACAATTTTAGGAAATAAATCAGATATTCATGAAAAAAATGAAAAGGAAAAAGTTTTAAGTGCTATATTTAAAAGAACGTTGTCAAGTCCACCAGAAAGAGATTTGTTTGACAATTCCAGTTGTGATAATTTGCAAGATAACGCTATTGATTCGAATACAGAAGCCCAAAAATTGTGTTTTTTAAATATTTCCAGCAAATCAAAAAAATTAAAAAACTGCTTTATCAAATTAAAAAAATTTTCAAAAAGAAAAATGAGAAGACAACAACATGGCGACGACGTTTTGTCTCTAAATGAACATTGCAGTGACGAAGAAAATAGTTTGAAGTCGGTTATTTCTTCAATAAATAATTTTAATAAACTTTTAAATTCTAATAAATTTACTGAAAACGTATCAACGCCAACGACAAGTTTAATTGCAGATACAAAAAAAAGCTCTGATTGTCAAGTCAACTCTCCACCTATTATGAACAATCAGTATGTTTTTATGAAGAAATGCATTTCAACCTCTTCGAGTTCTTCATTTAGTATAACTGATAATCCCACGCAAGCCAATAACATCAGTTCTAGCGACTTAATTGTTACAAAACAACTTCATAATAATACAAACCATAATGCAAATGAAAATGAATTAACATATTTTGCGTTTCCGAATGAAACGGCGATAAATAATCGTTTAGGAGATACTATGCATTGCTCATCTATTTTCCCTATAGATTTGGATTTATCCGATGCTTTTGATTTTTCTAATATAATTCCAGATGATAAAAGTTCTATGATTCATTCAACACCAGATCGTCAAAGGGCAAATTCAGATTTCTTAGAGAAAGTAGTAAACGAAGAAGGAAACACAATTTCGACTTCAATAAAAGTTGACCATGAATTTGGTACTGCAGTACAAAACAGTAACGGTGTTTCATCAAAAACCAATAAGAATTTAGAGGAGACTAAAAGCTTTTCTGTTAGTAATTTCAAAGATACAAGGGATGCAAAAGATACAAAACAAACTAAAGATATGAAATGTTTTAAACCTTTAAAAGATATTAAAAATCCAAATCATTTAAAAAATTCCAAATTTACATCTTTAAAAGAACCAAATGACTTCAAACCACCCACTACCGAAGAGAAATGTGATATTAAACGAAATGAAACAAAACCTTTTAAGCACGACAAAAAACCTGACATAGAGCTAAGTAATCATTTAGACAAAAAACCATCTGTGCCAGTGCGTATTAAATATCCAATCAAAAGAGATCGAGAGAGATGTGAGAACAGTAGCGTAAGTAATCCTAATCAAAAAACTGTCGCACATTTTCATACACCATCAGGCGTTAAAGAACATAGAGAGAGGCAAATTTTAATATCACCCAGTAAATTGGATAACATAACTCAAAGTATTCAGCAATCTATTCCTGTAGAAAAAATTCAGAATGATAAGAGTAATTTACCCCATATGCCCCTTTTAGACGATTCAATTCAAATTAATAACGACAACACGCTAGAGTTTATTAGTAAGGATAAAACAAAACGTTCAATTAATGAAAAGTTGGTTGGTTTACAATTGCCAAAAAAAGTACCACAGTTTAACGAAATGTGTGATTTAAATGAAGTCAGTGAAACTGTTGAAAAAGCTACTTCAAACAATTTTAATCAAGCTCAGAAAGTCATGAACCAGAATCCTACTACAGTTATTCCAAAAAAGGCTCAAACGAAAACTTTTACACCAACAGTACGTCCGATTGCTACAAATTTTCACAATTTTCAGAGTTCGTATGAACAATTTGCTACATCCACCGATTTCCAAGAGTCAAGTCTTAGACAAACTGCTGATAATTTATTAATACAACAGCAAAAAATAATAAAACCTAAACTATTGCCAGATAAAAAACCAAATTCAATTGTTATAAACCAACAAATAATACCGCCTCCTTGCTCGTTACCTTCAACTAAAAAAAGTGCACTACAACAAAATCAATTTTTAAAAACCGGTTCATTAAGCTTCAAACCTGGAATATTAAAAAGACCTTCAACAGAAATTATAAAATCAAAGGAAAAAATTTCAAGGGATAATCATCCATTAGTAATGTTTAACAATAAAATTGACAAACATCAAACATCTGGCATATTTATAGTTGAAAAAACATCTGACTGTTTTACTAATACAGTACCAACAGCGAATACTAAAGGATCACAGTCGCTGTATAAATCACCATTATAGCATAAGGGTAATAAATTAACATCGTCGACCGATGCATTAGATGGTGTTAATACATTCGATGAATTTTTACAAGCAGCAAATGAGGATATTTCTAAAAAAAAACAGCAAAGTTTTCCACAAGGTCGTAAGAAGTGCATAAGTTCTTCTTTACCGAAATTTTCGGAACCAGAAACAACATCATCAACGTCGTCCCCCATTTCAATTTTAAAACCAGCGTTATTGACTTCTACAATAGCCACATTTAGATACTTGTCTAACGGGACTAAAATAAAAAAACGGGTATCTTTTGATAAAAATGTCATAGATAATTGGAAGGAATAAAATTTTCATACTTTATTTTACGTCAATCAAAGAATTTAATGTTATTATTAAAGTTGTGATAATTATGGTTTTGCAAATCAGATTGAATCGTGTATGCAGTTCTTTGGCATATGTAAATAATTCATTAAATTTTCTAAAATTGTGACTATGTAAGTGTAAACAAAAATTCTTTTAAATTTTCCTGAAACTCTAAAAAAATGATTTCTTTCGCATAGTTCAATATATTTTGTTTATTCACATGTTTTTACATACACATGCATGTACATATGTGCATACTTCGGAACAATTTAGGTAAAGACTTTTTGGATACTATGATTATGTTCTAAAATTTTAATTCAAAGACAAATTGATTTGTAAAACAAAATTGTAATTAAACTAACAAAACTTAATCGAAATTAGCATTTTTCACCCAAACTTAAATAAATTTCCAATTGATTTAATACATCACTTTAAGTGATTCCTTCTCTTTTTTTATGAAATCAATTTTTTTAACTTTACAATATATGTATTCATTTACTAAAGAATATTTTTCAATTACCTGGAAATGAAAATAGAATTTTGATAAGAAATTCAGCAATGAATTTCATTTTTGGTAAACATAATGGTTTTTAAAGGAACTATTCTTCAGAATAAAATCTTTTTATAGGACGGAACAAAGTTTAATGCACACAGTTAAGAAAAATGATTTCAAAAAGGTAAATTGACGCAGCCTATTCTCCATTTTGAAAATCTAATTAAAATTATAATATCATTTTAGGTACCTATTGAATATAAAATAATATTACGTTTCTAACCATGTTAAGAAATAATTTTTTTTTAAATTATCGCAAGTTTTAAACCTGTATATAAGAGTATATAATTTTTAAGAATTAAAAAATAAATAATGTTTAGTTTAAAGAAAAAACAAAATTAAACAGTCATAAAGTTTACCTCAAAAAATATAATTATTTAAGTTTATTTTAATATGTAATTCATTTTTATATGTAAATCATTGTTACATAATATATAATTATAAATTATTGCTTTATTTTTAATTTCATATTCGAAAAATTTATTTTCATGTTTTGATTAGTAGTTTTTTTTTAAACATAGTTATAGAAAGTTTCATTGAAACTATTTAAAAACACATGAGATTTAAATTTCAAAAAAAAACAATAATAGTATAATATATAAATATGTTACTGATATACCATTTAAAAAGATTTATTTTTTATGTACAATTAAGTTTTTGGCAAACAATTTTGTCAACACACCTCAAATTTGTCTCAAATTTTGTTAAGAGATAAATCAAAATTAAAATGTTTTGTGATCTGCAATTGTATACATAAGGTTTAGATAAACATTCTTAATATGTTTACATGTTAATGTAATCTTTTAGGGAATTTTTTTTGTTTTTATTTATAGTTTTTAATATTTAATATTTTTATTTTTTCTATTGTTTCATTATCAGCATTTGTACTAAATTTAATTAATATATATATATATGCCTATTTACTAGTACTAATACTGAAACGATAGTCTCGAAACGTTTCTATGTTTGAAATAAATCAAATACTAAATTCAAATTAATAAAAAAATAAGTATAATACTAATGTTTATCTAAACTAAAGGTCTATCTATTTAATGAATAGTGAAAGAATGTAAGAAAAATGAATTACAATGTATACGTAAATACTGTGTTGAAACTAAAAAAATCATATTTTTTGTGTTTATTTTCGAAAATTTTATTTACCCGAAAATTTTTCAAAACAAATTTCAAACATTTTTAAAAAATAAATAAATATGTAATCATTGAAAGTGTAATTTTGGTATTTTTTAATTTTAATTAATTGTAAATCTCTAATTTTAATCAATTGCAAATCTCCAGTTTTAATTAATTGTACACAATTAAAATTTCTGTAAACTAGAGTTTACAGAAAACCTGTATTAAATACTTCAATATCAATTTCTATATAAATTATTGTTAGAATATAATTTCATTTACATAATTAGCGAATTTTTATTCTCTATTTATTCATTAATTTATTATTCTGTAAATGATAATAACTTTTTTATACTTTCTCTTATTTTCCGAATGAAAAACTTTGTGGTATGAATCCCCTATTTTATTTGTAACAAATTTCAAAAAATTAAATGATCATACCACAATATCATTTCAGTGAAAATTAATTTATTTGGTACAAAATATTATATTCATATTATAAATAGACTTCGATATTACTTACAAATTACATATATGTATATGTACATAAAGAAAATATTATTTAAAATTTAAAATTTATTATTTGAAAAATTTTGTAAGAAAGTACATAATAAATATAGTCATAGTAAAATTTTTGTACAATGAATACGTAAATTAAAATTGAAGAAATTATTTTATCATACATACATATTAATTTAAAAGAAATTACATATTATTGTTCCGAACATTTAATATAAAATGTTGTATAGAATAAGATTTACTATCATATTTAAAAATAGAAACTAGATAATATTTAAATATAAAAAATGTGTAGCACTTCTAATGCAAAGATTGTATTTTATTTTTGTTATTTCGAAAATAAATTTAACTAATATTTAATTGCAAATAAATAACTATGCTTTTTGAGTGCTAATAGTAATAATTAACAAATTCTATGTATATAAAAATTAATTTATTAATTAGCTTTAAAGATTTATGGATATTTGATAAAAAAGAAAAAATTAAATAAAGCAGATTTAATTTGTGTTCAATAGTAATGACGAATTCATCAATATTAAAAAAGAAATTAAATAAACAATCATGAAATAATAAATAAAAAGCAATATATTTATTATTCAATAGTATTGATAAAAAATTCATAACATTGACACTATTATAAGATTTAAAATCCATTTTAAATTAATAATTCGTACTTTTAAAACAAAAAGGCCTCTTAATTTACATTCAAAATATTTTTTATAAAAACCTGCACAGTAATTGTAATATTTCAAAAATTTTACAAAAGTGTATTATTAATAATCATACATTTTTAAAAATAGAAATCTTATTTAAATTTAGATTAGAAATTTAAAGTGCCTTTTTGGTTTAATTTTGATTGATTAAGAAAATAATTAGATTTTAAAAGTTTCTTGATGCTAAATACTTCAATAATTTGAAAATTGAAAAATAAAGTAATAAATATATAGATTATAATTAAAAAATACTATGCTAACTAGGAAAAATTCATGATATTGAAGTAAATAAAATTTCACATGTACATAAATATTACATAAAAATTTGTTGTAAATTTTGATTTATTAATATTAAATATAAGATAAACGACACAATATAATAAATAGTAAGCTTAAGAAACGAAAATGTTATTTTATGTAAAGTATTCAACCAACTAAAATTATATTATAAAAGTTGAATTTTATTTCTAAATGATCAAGATTTAATGTCTAAATAATTTTATAAAGCTATATTATATACAATTTTAATTAAGTAATTAGAAAGAATATTTCTAATATATTATAATAAATAAAGAAAAATTTAAAAAATTAATTTATATTTATTTCTTTTATTAATTAACTATTATAGATATTAATTCAAAATAATGATATATTTTGAAAATATGTATATTTTGGAATAAAAAATCTTTAAAAAATGTGTGAAATTTATTAAATAAGAACTTAATATATTTGCGTGTATATTAATTATGGAATTAATTATAGAAATTATATTCAACAGATTAAAATATATATTAAAAAATCACATTATTTGAACACAACAAAAATGAAATTAATATTTTAAAATTACATATATGTATATATATATATATATATAGAGAATATAAATTGCAAATAAATTTGAATTTTTAAAAAACATACCTTTTTTATCAATTTAACAGAGTTCTTTATTTTATTTTGTAAGTCTATAAATCTATTCAAAATTATGCCGAAAGAGGTTTGAAACTTAAATTATTTTTCAGTAAATAGATTAAAATTTATTTAACTATTCTTAAAAATAACTATGTGAAATGTTTTACTAAAAATAGAACACTATTAGAAACTTGTTAATTTTTGTTTTTAAAAACAATCTGATCTAAATATACATAATATACATTTTATTTTCTAGCAAAGTAAAAGTAACGCTCAGATCCTTATCCCTTAAACTTGGAAAAGGGCACATTTGTCATATTCTTTGTCACTTTGTTGAATAGTGATTAATAAGAGTACATATTTAAAGCAGTTGCATTATCCTCGTTACTTAAATAAATAATATATATATATTTAAATATAAATTTCATAGGTAAATTAAACGCAGGTTATTTCTATGTTGATATTATCAGAGCCTCACATATTTAAGGTTTTAATTTTGCAAAAAGCTTTGCATAACTTTTAAAGTGCAACTCTGAATTTGCAACACAATTAAAAAATATTACCATTTTTTAAGTAAAAATTTCATTGAATGAACATGGAGAAAGAATTTGGTAGATTTTCAATAATTCGGTTCTAAATTAAAGCAACACATATATAAAATATGGAAAATACTATATACAGAAAAATGTGAAGTTTTGAGGTTTTTACGAATCTCCAAACTATTAAGTTTTTGCAGATTTGCAATTAAGAAAAAAAATAACTGTTAAAGATTAATTCAGAACTTTAAGTGCATATTTCAACTATCGAAAATTCTCTAAGTTTCACTGCAAAAATATTTACTCTTTCTTTTAAAAAAATCCTTGATTAAAGATGAGTTTTATTAAATAAAAATTTCTCATTATTATTAATTTTTCGACCTTACAAACACAATATTTATTATTTAAATTTATGTTTTTAAGTGGTTTGAAAAGAAACAAATCTTATTAATAGCAAGTTATTAATATTGAATATATACAACTTATTCCTTATAAAATTTTAGGGAAATTTTCCCTTTTGTATAATGATTTACTGAAATTTCAAGAATATAAATGAAACGAAATAGTTTTTATTAATGCCGAAGAGTTTTTAAACATATATTTGTTGACTTCTGCCATAAAATCACCAAAAGCCAAAAACGCAAAAAAAAAAAAAAACAATTTTACATACATTTGATTACATTTTTTTTCAAGAACTAATAAAATGGATTTTTTTTTCAATTATATATATATATTGTGTGTGTGAATGCATTTTATATATACAATTTTGAACGATTAAAATTAAAATTGAACAAGACAAAATATCTATAATATATCAACTGGTTCATAAGGGGCGTCCAAATCTCTGTAGTGTATTACTGAACGGTAATCGCCACCAGGTCTTCTGTAAACATAGATAATATAAAAGAGTCTAATGAAATTCTTTTTTTTTTGTAATTTTTCTTTTATTTTTATAGCTATTAAAGTTTTTATAATTTTCATTGGCTTTTGTTTTGATCGATTCTTTCCATAAGAGCATTTATTTTATATAGTTTTTTCTTACTACATATTTTCTTTTCCAATATGCAAACAAAAAAAAAAAAAAAACAAATTAACTTTTATTCAATCTTGCAAAATATTATAAATTAATTATTGTTAAAATAACCATTTTATCAATACAAATATCTACGTAAAATTAAAATTTATAATTACACGAATTAAAAATACAAAATTTTCTTTTGTCAATTTTCCGCTAATTCTTTTTAATTTAAACTGCGAAATAAATTTTTCAACACAAAGCGAGTTTTCTATTGCATATCTTTTATGCATTACGTTTATTTATATAATAGAAATATTATTTGCTTCATATATTAAAAATTCATTTATTATTGAAAATTATAATAGCGAATTGGCCGTTACTATTTAAATTTAATCGAACATATCGAAATTTGGTGGAGCATCCAAATCATGATAACCTATAATACGTCGTTCATGTCCTCCTGGCAATTCGCTGTAAAAAATGTTTTCAAAAATTCGATTCTTATATTTATAGTTCGTTTGAAGGTATTTAATTCATTTAGTAACTACAATTTTAAAAAATATTTATATATATATCTTTATAAAATGCTTGCTTATTTTTTCATTTATAAACAACATTGTGATGCAAATTATATATAAAATGTTTTTTTCATATAAATAAATACATAACTTTGCAACACAATATAAATCTGTAGCAATTCGTTAAGTTTAGCTCAAAAAAATAATTTTTTTTCTTCAATTATAATTTTTAATAATATAAGTATACTAATATTAGTATTAAATTTAGTGAGCTAAAATCAATAAACAACAATCTTAATTCTTTTACATTTAATATTAAGAGTTAAAGATCTTTTATTAAAAAACAAAAAAAAAAATTATACTAATATAAAAAAGATGTAAATATTACCGTCTTCCTCCAAAGCCTCTCCTAGGAGGAGCCACCATTGGGGGTGCATAAGCTGCATATGGAGGAGCATAAGTTGGAAGAGCATAGCTTGGTCTAAAACTAAAATTTTTAAAATTTTTGGAAACTGTTTTTTTATTAATAATTTAAAATAAATACCCGGGATGTGGAGGTATGTCGGCAGTTGGCTGTCTCTTATTGTTACCAGGATGCTCAGGCAATTGAGGTCGTTTTGGATCTTTTAAATAATTATTAAAGTATTCCACTTCTTTTCGTACTTCTTCAACTTTTTCCGCATGTTTATTAAATATATGCTTGCGTATAAACTCAGGGCCTCTGAACTTTTTGCCCGATAATGGACACAACCATTTGTCTTTAGCCAGCTCTTGAGTATTAGCTTGAATAAATTTTTCAACTTCTGCTTCTGGATCTTTTGCTCCCAAATTTTTCATTTCATCAGGTTCAATGGGTGTACTCTTTGCAAAAAATGAAGACATTTTGCCTTCAAAATTTTTAATATAATCTTGCATATCGGATTGCGTAACTTTATTTTGTGGAGCTGGACCGCGAGCATGTATAATACCACAACGATTAGGCATTTCATCTTCATATGGATATTCACAGTGATTATAAAAATCAACTGAATGAACAATTCGAAGATACAAAATTAGTTTATCCAAAACAGATAATAATTGCTGATCACGTTCTAGCTGTTCTACCTCATTATTATCTTTATTTTCCGAAGTGCTCCCAGATGATAAACCTAAAAGTTCTTCTTCTTCGGCAGAAGCTTCTTCAATCAAATAATCTGTTATATTTTGCAAAACTGGGTTATTCGATTTGAATCCAAATGTTGCAACGTCCTTTTCCAAAATATTTTCGTCACCTTTGTTGACGAAAACTGCCTGCTCAATTCCATCAAGTTTATTTAACCATAAATTGAATTTTTCATCTAAGTTTAAAATAATTTTTGCGCATAGTTTTATATCACTCCGAACAATTGTTTTGTGCGCAGTGATTCCATTTACAGGGCGTACTCGTCTGCTGAGGTCTCTATTAACAATGGCACCCATTTCACAATCTCTCAAACGAATATTATTCAGGTTCCAACATATTTCTTTAATGTTGACATCTCGCTTAAATGTTACCCAACCGCGTCTAAACCACCTTCTCTCAACTAAGGGATCCGCAATGGCAACTCTAAGAAAACCATCATAACGCTTACATATAGCTTCAATTTCAGCTTTTGTTATACTGGGAGCTAGATTTCTTAAAAATATAGAGCTAGTTCGATGTAAATGTCGAGGAGTTATTTGGTTTTCTTTAATCTCAGCAATTTCGGATGATGATTTTTCTTTATCTTCATCAGGAAGTACTACACTTGCTTTTTCTATCAATTTTTCATCATTGTTTTCTTCAAGACTTTCTTCCGGCTTAGTTTGCCCATTTTGAACAACTTCTGGCGTAACTTCTTTATAGACTGAAACAATTTTTTTATTAACTACACAAGTATAATAAAAAATTTCTCACCTTTATCTGTAACTTCTTCTAAAGTAGATTCATTTTTTTCTTTCTCCGTATCATCTGTTTCATTTTCTACTTTTTCAGAATTGTCTTTTTCATTTTCTTCAGTTTTATTTTCTTCAACTTCTTTATCAATTTCATATTTCCTATAGTCTTCTCTCTTGTCTTCACGCTTTTTGGACTCATCGTCACTAGAAGAAGACGAGCTGGAAGAAGAACTGCTGCTGCTGGAACTTGATGCAGAATGACTTCGCTTCCTCTTCTTTGATTCATTTGCTTTCGGTTGTTCCTCCGTTTTTTCTTCTGTTTCCGACTCATCCCAATCCGAATCGCCAGAAGCTTTTGGTGGCTTCGATACTGCTACTATCGGCCTTTTCTCAGCTTCTTCATCCCAATCGGTCTCTCCCTTTTCAGTTTCGTCTTTTTCTTTTTTAACCTTTACTTCAATAACGTCATCATCTTCCGCTTTTTTGTTTAAGATTTCTGGTTTAATTTCTTGAGGTTTTTCATCTAAAGCTTTAAGATCTTCTTCTGTACCACCTTCCAATTTGATTACTACGGTATCCAGCAATCTTAACAAAGGATCTGCTTGATTGGCATCAACTGTTACGTTTGTTATTGAACCTTGTTCTAACAGTTCCGTGAAAACTTCAACACGACGCTGAAAATAATTAGCAATTAGTTTAAGTAATATCGTAAAAATGCTACTAACATTTAAAAAGCCAAGTTGTTCATCTTTTCGCTTGGACGATTCTTCAGGATGGTATTTATTTTTAAACCTGGTAAAAATTTATTTAGATTTTAAAATACAAATCAATGAATTACGTAACAAAATTAAATCTAAATATGAGCTTTCTTAATTTACAAAAAAATCCATTAAATATATTGTCTAAAATAACTTTATTGTTGTTATTCCCCAAGCTGATCCTGGAAAAATCCACGATAAAAAGACAAAAATATCTAAACACATTTAGATACTAAACTTAAATTCGTGAAAATTATCGCTAAGTCAATTTATTACATATTTCAATTTACATTATTTTTAAAAAATTATTTGAAATTCAACCTCAAATCTTACCTTCGTATACATCTAAGTTTTATATTTTATTCATAAATATAATTTGAACGATTAAAACGCGGAATTATATTTAAAACACACTTTGGCATTGCTCGCCAAGTGTAAAAAAAAACAAAAAAGTACCGCGATAATGCATATCCAAATATGAATATGAATATATGTAAGTATAAAGTTAATTAAGAGTTTTCGAGTATTTAAATATAAAATTTGCAGTTATTATTTCTTGCTATATTCGAAAACAAATAATAGTTTTGAACTTCTCTATGAAGAGCTGTTGGAGAAAACACTTATTTAATTTTAATATTAATTAATGTTCAAATTTTACAAAAATTAATGCAAATTATATCTGTAAAATTAATGAAATATACCTTTGACTATTATTTGAAATGAAAGAAGAATAAAAATAATTTTATAACAAAATAAATAAAATTACTCAAAAATTTCAGATTTACATTTAAAGGTAGAATTTTTATAGTTATTCTTCCTTCACCTATTCTCGAAAAGAATTTCTTACCATTCTTCATCTTTATGAGCTACAAAAAATTCATTCAACTGCTGTCTTTTAAACTCTAATTTGTATTCTCCATACTTTTTTAATACTTCAGAATCAGAGATACTGTCATCTTGAGTGTCGAGATACTGCTTTAAAGTTAACATTGGTGGCTGAGTTTGCAAATCATTATTAGCTTGAGCTTCCGAGGCGGCAGCAGCTGCTGCTGCTGCTCTCATATGAGGTGCCTGCGATGGCATTCCGTATGGATGTAAACCATGTATTGGATAATGATCCGGACCCCAAGCATACATACCATATGCCTCGTGCACTGTAATTTAATAAATATTGTAATTTAATTTTTTCATGTTCTTCAAACAAAATGAAATACCATATCTGGGTCTAACATCATCACCCCAGTCTGGTCTCATTCGCTTTGGTGGTGGTGAGTATCGTCCACTTCCTCTTCCACCAGATGTATAGTCCGGCCTTGAGCGACCACCCCTGAACGGATTTCTAAAACCAAAGGTTAGAGATCACAATATTATCGAAACAGATATTCTTACCTTTCAGGCCAATCTTCACGACGCCTTTCTTCTCTACGCTCAGAACGGTAATTATCGCTTCCAGCGCTCCTTTCGCCCCTAAATTTATCTCTTCTTTTCCGGTCATATTCATCGTCAGAATCAGCCATTATTATTACTTAACTATTAAGAGAAAAAGAACCAAATAGTTAATTTATCCGAAATTATAGAAATCAATACACTTTTATAAACTACTTTGAAAATTCCGGCACTCTTTTTTTTTTAAAGTTAAAAAAACATAACTTATTAAGTATTTATATTACGTTAATTTTATTTAATGGTATATTATTTTTGTTATTTTAGAATTAAATATTTTCCTCACCTTATAAAAATAGTTTTATTGAAAGCGTCACCAAAAATTATTATTATCTAACCTAAAAATATAAAACGAAATTAGCTCAATTACAATTTGGAAACAGTTCAGAAAATATTAAGAAAATTTAGGTTGCGTTCAAAATTTTTGTAAAGAATCAGAAATCTCAAACATTATGTTTTTCTTTGTAACAAACATATGTAGGTAGCCTATATTGGCAGAACAGAAAATATTTTTCGGATTCAGAATTTTCTATTTTTGTTTTATGTACATAATTTTAATATAATTGCTTTGAAAATAAAATTGCTAAATAAGTTAAAGTCTAGATTTACAATATCTCTTTATTTTATGTTCCATTCTATATTTTTACGTATGTTCCATCTATTTTTTATGTTACTTGTCCTAATTTTTTCAATAAATTTTTATCCATACGACACAATCTAAACTTTAATTTGAGTCTGATGAAAGTTGTACATTATTTGTCATCAGATCTTCGTTTTTCTAACAGCGATCAACAGATTTTTAATTTGTTTATAATTTTGTTACCAAATTGTTACATGTTGATTTAAAGTCATAATTTCATCAGATAATTTCAGATTAATGTTAGTGTTATATATTTATTATATCATATATTTGTTAGTATTATAAATATATTATGTATAAGCAATATTATTATAATAATGATGATTGAAAGGTAAATATGCACAAAGAACATATTCATTTTTGGTGTTTTATATGTTTATCTTAAATGTCAAGCCTTTTAAATAAATACAAAAATTTAATAGTAGTAGAACTTTATATAAAAATTATTTAAAAAAAAAATCTTTCAAGTTTTTCTTGATTCTTAATATGTTAGCTTAAAAATTAACCAGAACTTTTTTTGTGTATAATCACAACTAAACAAAAATACGTTTAAATCAAAAAATGTATAACACTTACGTCAACCTTCATCGAACAAGCAATAGCTGAATTACGTCAAACTTTTTGAGTCAACTGATACTCACTCTTCATGACTCATGAGTTTCCTTGTGTTGAACCTCGTTTTTTCTTCAGTTGTATATCAATATTGAAAATTCGATTTAATATGTCAAAGAATCAAGACTGAAAGTTACTGTGAAATTTTTCATGAATGTGCAAACAATATACGCAAATAAATAAAGTAGAATAAATATCTTTAATAAATACATAAAAACTTTTATTTTATTATAGAGCAGTACTTTAAAAAAATGCTATATTATTAAAATAATTTTTTATAAATTGTACTTTTGCGTGTTCTATAACTGAATTTGGCGCAATATAAGACTTCAAGTATATTTCAGTACTTTTTTTACATTCCTTTTTTTACTTTCAAATTCAGCCAATGAAACTGGATTACTGGCACACAAAGGCGAAGAACTTATTTTGAAGCTCTAAAATTTGTTGAGAAAAAAAATATTATTTTTCGCGTGCAAATGCTAAAGTTAATTTATTGGAAATATTGAGAAAAATAATTTTAATATTTTAAAATTTGATAGTTTTGCAATGACCACATTATCTAGTATCGAAGCTGAGTACAACGAAATTGTTAGAAATGACGGCTGGCATAGTTTGTTCCAGGTAAAAATGGCTAAAATATATATGTCAGATAACCAATTAAATTTTCATAGTGGAAGTTTTGTGAAAATTAAAAAATGTTCGCGTTTTGATTTCGAAAAAAGAATAAACAAAAATATTGGTACATTTTATAGAAAAATGTACGTTAATATTTTTTTCAAAAAAAGCATTTCCAAGAAATTGGTTTAAATATGTATAAAAAACCTGGAGTCACTAGTAACTAAATTCTTGGAAAATTTAGTTAATAATCTTTGTTGATAATCATTGTAAGAAACGATTATCCATTTTAAAATAAAAAAAGTTAAATATAAATCGATTAAATTATGGACAATACATACTATTATATAAACAAAATTCATAAATTGATTCTTGAAGTATATTTTTTTGAAATGTATAATATTTTGTATCAATTCTAAATTAGGAAATCCGAGAAAAATCGGAAAAGGAAGCAAAAGACAAACATTTTACCCATAATGAATCGAGCAGAGGAGAAAATCGCTCAATGAACAGGTATCGCGATGTGAATCCATATGATCATTCTCGGATAATATTGAATAGAAGCAAAACTGACTATATTAATGCCAACTTGGTTAAGGTAAAAATAATATAATGTTTTTTTTTATATTTTATTTTTTTAATAAGTGTAACACGAATTTCTGATTATCAACTTTAAGAAATATAATAATCCAGTAATAAATACATATTTTTGTTTTAATTAGATGGAAAGGGCCGATAGAAAATATATACTTACACAAGGACCTTTACGCGAAACAGTTGGTCACTTTTGGTTAATGATTTGGGAACAGCAATCAAAAGCAATATTAATGTTAAATAAACTTATTGAAAAAAAGCAGGTGAAATGTCATTTATACTGGCCAGAACAAACTGGTGAAGAGCATTTAATGTCTTTGAAAGATGTAGGGTTAAACATTGAGTACGTAAAGGGCGAGGAATACACAAATTACTGTAAAAGATGGTTCAAGTAAATATACTGAAATTTGTTTAAAAAAAAAATTAAATTTTGTCAACATTTGTTATTTGCAGAGTTACTGACACAAAAACTAGGCAGTCGCGGGAAGTAATTCAATTTCATTATACTACATGGCCAGATTTCGGGATTCCAAGTTCGCCTGTTGCATTTTTACAATTTTTAAAAAAAGTAAGAGATTCTGGAGCGCTTAGTCCAGAAGTTGGTCCAGCAGTAGTACATTGCAGTGCGGGTATTGGAAGATCTGGAACGTTTTGCTTAGTCGATTGTTGTTTAGTGTTGGTAAGAATTAAAAAAAAAAAGTTTTTTTTTATAAAAATCCATTAGCTTTAAAGGAAAATACAACCATGAGTAATGTAACCTTTTTTTAAACATTATGATTTTAAAATATATTTTCTAATTGTTACACTTTGAAATTGACGCATTTTCAATATTAGTACATTATAAATAAGTAAATAAACATATTTGTTTTTTACATAAATATATTATCTTTTACATAGATTGAGAGAGAAGGAGAAAACAATGTTTCTGTAAGGGAAATTTTGTATGAATTAAGAAGGTATCGTATGGGGTTAATTCAAACGGCTGATCAGTTATATTTTTCATATCAAGCTATAATAGAAGGAATGAAACAACTGAAAGATCCAGTAAATTTAAATTATACAATTTTCTATCTAAAATTATTTTAATAAACTTCAGCACTTGTAGGAATTTTTGGGTTATGAGGAAGTGCCAAAAGATTTAAAGGACCAAGGAGAGGAACTGCCTCCAATCCCACCAGTACGATATGGGTCTTTGGGGGGACCACAACAAAATGGTAACAATACAAGTACTTCGGTTATTCAAGGTATAGGATTAGCGTCAGCGACGACAGACAATGCAAATCAAACAAAAAATGGAACTACTGGAATATTAAGAATATCACCAGCAGATAGGCCTTTGCCACCTCTTCCTGTACCACCTACAAATGATTTAGAATCAAAAAGCGATGACGAAGAAAGTTCTGGTATTGATAAGGAGTTTATTAATGAAATTAATACTGACGAAGAATTAGAAGAAATGAAATGTCATAAAAGTGATGACGACAGTATCAATGATGGTTATAATGAAGATAACAAACAATATTATAATAATAAACATGAACCTACCGATAAACAAATAACTGAAACTAACTCTGAAAATGTTGATGATGAAACTACAGCAAAACGTATTAAATTGGGTAATGATAATGAGGCAATTGATTCTACCAATATTCCTAACGGAATTAGTGATAGAAAGTAAGTGTTTTCACTAAAAAATTATTCTGTTCTCGACTTAAACATTATAACGTTTAAAATCATTATAAAAAAACATGTACAACATAAACTAGTTAGGATTTTATATATATATATATTCTTCTATAATGTTAGTAGTATGAAATTCATATTGTAAAAAAATATATACATACATAAATGTTTAAAAAAATTCAATAATTTTGATAAAAAATAATTAGGATTTAAATTACTGAATTATTCAAATCAATTAGTGAAAAAACATAATCTTTAATATAGATTTTTATTTTATAAAATATTGAAATAATCATTATTAATAATTTTTATATTTCTGTTACTGTATTTCAAAACGAAAAGAACACCTTTAATTTTCGGGTGCATTATATTGATATTTAAGTTTTCAATATTCTGATGTCTCGAGTTTTTTTTTTTATTCAAATCTCATATTTCTTATTTCAAATTGATGAAATCCCAAATTATAAATAAAAATCGAATCGATAAAAAGTAAAAAGAACTAAATCTTTTTTTTTCTGTTTTTGTTTGTTGTTTAAATTTTTAGAAACTGCTGGTTTTGATTGACACTAGAACCAATTATTTCTTATATCGCCTAGGAAGGCATGTGAAGAAAATTTAAAATGCTTGTATCGTCATCACTAATCAATATATTTATACATACATATGCGTATATATATATATATGATTATATTATATACATATATAAAGTATTGTGGAAAAGTCGTATTACTTTTTGTACTTGTACTTTTATAATAATAGCTGTGCCAATTTACATTTTTGAAAAAAAAAATGAACTTTAACCAATTATATTAAATTAATTCGTGTTTCTTACATTTTGACCATATTTTTTGTTAATTATATACTAAATGTGTAAAATGTTGTGTTATAGCTAATTCGTTAAAAGTCTTTATAATATTGAATTCAAAATCGTAAAAGATTTGATTTTAAATAGCGTAAATTAAATGTTTAAATCTAAATCAAAATACTACACATTAAAAATAAAAATCTTTTGCCTAATAATTTTATACATATTTACATATATGTTCTTAATAAATGAAAAATAGAAAAATTTAAAAATTTTGTCGTAAAAAACATAAGATGCAAAACACAGTGAAAAAATTGAAATCCTAATAAAAATTAAAAAAAAAAAAATTAAATTTTTGTTTTTATTAAAAAATTTGTCATTTTTGATAAAGAGGAAAATTATATTAAAGGTTAAAAGTTTAATATTTTTAAGTATATGTGATTATCTTGATTTTCAGTAATAAAAATCTTAAGGTAATTTAAAATAATTTAGGATGTCAGAATTATTATGATGTCATAATTAATGTTAAAATGCATTTTGTTGAAAAATATTTACTTGACGCTTTTTGAACAGTTTTATAACGCATAATTTTCGATCGTAATTTTTTATATAATTTAGGTACATTTACTTTAGAGAAAATAAAATGATGTTAGTGAAATGCAAAAGATAATTTATTTCTAACAATCAAATAAATTGCACTATTAAACTTTAAAATTTGTAATAATAAATAATAAAGTTAAGTTTATATTAAAAAAGAAATATTATTTAATTGCTTTTTACGCATTATAGTATTGACGCTTGCATTTATAAATAAATAATTTTTAATTATATCTCAATTAATCTAAAAATTATTTTTTGCAATAACCGTTTCTTAAATTTTATAGTTAAGTGTATCAAACATAGATTTTTTTTTCCTTAAAAAATATTTGAATCGAATATACAATACACTTTTTATGTATTTTTAGTTCAGAAAATTCAGAAATAAGAAGGCGACATATTGAACGCCAAGAGAATATTGCAAATAAAGTAAATGAAATCAAAAGAAAACAACGAGAAATCGAGGCTGAAACGGAGGCGTCGAAAAAGCGAAGATCAATAGTAAGATTCTTAGCAGCTGGAGTGATTGTTGGAGTTTTATGTGTATATGCTTACACGAAATTTGGTTAAATCCCAAATAAATGAAAAAAAGGAAAAAAAAAATAAATAAGTGTAATTAAAAAATAAATAATTTTTTAAGCGAACATTAAAATAAACAGAAAGTAAATTCTCTATTTTTTTATTTAAAATTTAAATCATAATAAATTTATATCCGAATATTTATGAAAACGTATAATATTCAAAGATTGTAAAATTGTTCACAAAGTATACATTACAAGCATAATGTATATGCATATATATATACATATATATACATCATAATAAGAAATGTAATAGCTGCTGATAGTTAAATATATTTGGGTTACTATAAGTTTCTAAGCAGCTCAAATAAACTTATAAAATTAAACAGACGTAATATTTGAATTTTACATTTAATATGTGTAAGAGAAAAATTAGTTTACGTTTTATACATACTTGTTTTATTTTATAAGGTATATAATTCATGTATATTTATATATATGTATTAATATATATTTATATATATACATATATATGTATCTATATTATGATTACTAAATTTATATTTAAGAAAATAAAATAATTAGAAACATATTTATTATGATTTTAATTTAGTTAACATCCTTATAAAATATAACATTTGATTATGCGTATAATTTATGCTGTGAGACATCATAATTTTATTACTTCATTCTTATTATTTTTCTTTTTAACTCTCCGTAATTAAAGAATTGTCTTTTTTTTTAATGAACAACAATATTATCGCTAATAATAATATAAATGAAATTTTCGGCACATGTTTTACAATTCAACATTTCACTTCATTTAAAAAAATGTTAACTTCTAGTTTACGATTTAAAATTTGTAAGTTCCAGTGAAATTAAAATTCTATATTTATTCAAAAATTTGCGAAAATATTTAATAAAATTGTGTTTGCGTTTTTTAGGATTTCGTGCTTTCATACTCAATATGCATACCACTATTAAACTATTGGTAACAAAATGAAAAGTAATAAAATTTTGATGTTTTAAATATTTATTCGTTAGTCCGAAAAACTTTTAAGCAAAATAAGTAAAAATATATTTATTTTTACTATTTGTATCTGCAATAAATAAATTACTTTAATTCGTTCGATAAAAATAATAATTGTATTTTTGCAGTAGCTTTTTTTTTTAATTTTTGTATAAATTTCTAATTTATTTTCACTTACAATAGTTAACTTTAATAATTAAATTTGAACAAGTTTTGGGGAAATTTAATAAAAAAAAATAATATTTTTTGTCATAAGATATTTAAAATAAAAAAAAAAAAGCTGTAGACTGATAGAGAAATTTTATATACAAAAACAAAAAATAAGGTAAAGAATTTAGATAAAAAAAAAATTAGAAACAAAATTAAAATCACTTTTTCTACATAATGTAAAGTGTAAAAAAAATATATTTTTCTTTTATTTTTGAGAAAAAAATTTTTTAGTCGAAACATCCCAGAATTATAAATTAAGTGTAATATAACATTGCATTTTTTTCTAGCTTTTGGAATTAATATTTGTAAACATTTGACTCATAAGTACATTTAAAACTCGAAATCAAATTTTTCAAGAAAATATACTTTACAAAATCATTACTTTTGTTCTTGTGATTTATTAAAATATTTTTCGATTATAATTTAATAAACGATTAAATAAAAACGTAAATAAATTAAAATATTTAGATTTATCTATAATAACAATTTCAAAACCTTAACAGAATTTTTTTATTGTAAAATCAACAAATACTACAAAAGTAGGCACTTCATTGAAAATTTTTATTTACAGTAATGTAAAGTAAAAAACACTTGTTTTTGTTATTCCATTTTTTTTATTATTTATTTCGAGTTTTATTTTTTTTTATTTATTTCAATTTACAAAATTTTTTAACCAATTTTTGTCTCTTAGATTAAAAAAAATGGATGGCCTAGTAAAGTTTTGGCCAGATGTAAGAAGTGATAGTGATTATAAAATTTTGTAAATTCTAATAACTTCTAAAAAAATAAATTTTGAAAATTAAAAGAAAAAAAATAAACTGTGAAATAAGCGTAAGGGTTTTTTATTTTATATTGCTGAAATTTCAAATAATTAAATAAAAGTTAAATACGCTTGTTACATTTATTTAATTTGCAATATTATAAAATCTATTTGATTTCAAGTGTTTAATAATATGAATAAAGAAATATAAGGAATTTAGAATACATCATGTAGATATATATTGCATTAAATTTAAAGAATAAATATTCATAAATCAAATAAATATGAATATTTATATATATATATATTTATAGTAATATATTAAATATTGTAAAATACACCGTAACACGTATAGGTTCAACACAATACATATAAGTAAAGTTAAATATATAATAAATGCATTCCATTTTGGAGAATATAAGTATTCATAATAAGAAAAAATAAAACTTCATTTATTGCCTTTGAAAATTGAAAAATAAGTTTTTATTTCCGATTTCATTTTGTTAGGAGATTTTTATAATATAATATTATGTAATTATCATAAATTATTTTTATACATAATTTTGTATATCAGTATAATGTATGATGCAGAGAGTACCCGTTAAAAAATATATATGCATTTTAAGTATTTAATAATTTTTAAACTTAAAATTATATTAAATATTTTATATGTTTTTTTATATTATGTTATAAATAATGTATAATACATTTGTATTATAATGTATTATTAAAATTGTACACCTTTATTTCAAAATTGCAGTAATATTGAGTTTTAGAACACAATTCAGCTAATGATTTGTTAATGCTGAATTATGTAGGAATACAGTATTATTACAATTTTGATGTCATAGCATAGACAATAGTTTTCAAGAAACATTCTTCTTATATTTTTTAAATTTTACTAATTTTTTGTATTATAAAGATTTTTGTATTCTTTATTTTTATAAATAGTTTTGCTAACAAAAAAAAATTCACAGATTATTCATTGTTAGAATAATGCAGTAAAAAAAAAAGTAATAATATGTATTTATTTTTTGTGTGAATGTTTAATTTTTTTTTTTTGTACAAAGAATATATTTATTGCTAAATTTGAAATTTTAAAAAATAAATTTAAATTGTTGAATAATATTCGTAATTAAACATCAAAAGCTAAAAGAAATTTTTTTTAAAATAATGACAGTGTCAGTTAAGTAACAAAATCAATTGTTTAAGAATATTATCTGGTATTCACACTAATATCTGAAAATAAAAAAATCAATCGCTTTGTAATTTTATTGTGTAAGCAAGCATATGTATTTTTTTTTGTGGTCGATTCCTAGAAAGTATAACTATTTCGATTAAAATAAATTTTTTATTTTAAAATTATCTATTAAAAAAAAAACTTAAATACTTTGTTAAATACTTAGTCTAATTAACTCTTTTATAATATAACAATATTTTATTTAAAATCAAGATTAAATATTTATAAAAAGGAAAATATATATTTTATATTTTTATTTCTGTTTTTTTTTTTGTGTGACTAAAGTTTTTTAGTACTCAAACTTAATTAATTTTCACAGAAAGTAGTAAAAATAGAAATATTATAAAATATTAATTAATTAGATTTGATTTTCGAGACACTAAATAAATTCGTGAATTTAAAATATATATACATATATATATATATAAAATGCGTATAAAAAATATTAAAGAAGTCAATGTTTACATACATACGTAAATTTATAATATTTTCAAATAAACATATTATATACATATATTATTATGTACATTATATAATTTAAATATAATTATTTTTGTACTAAATAAAAAAAAAACAAATATGTTAAATAAAAACAGCTTTATTCCTAAATAATTATTCAAATGAATAAAATCAATTTAGTTAATTTTTATTATTTAATACTTTATTTAATTGAAGATGTAAATTTTTTAATAATTTTCAATTTTCTCTTCTTAATTTTTTATAGAATGTTTAGCATTAAAAATTAAATCCAAAATTATATTTAAATTTTTATTACAAACACTTTTTTTTATTTAATATTTTATTAAGTTTTTGATTGTATTTATTGTGTTGTTTTTTTGGCATAAAATTTACAATTGGAAACTTAAAAGTATATTCATATGATACACATACATAAGTACATATTTTGTTTTGAGCAGTGTCTATTTGAAAATAGTTTTAATAAATAAATTTGCAATATCAGGACAGAAATAAATTCACTATTTATAAAATAACCTAGTCTTTTTCTTTTTCAAGTTTTAAATTAAATTTTAAATTTCAAATGATAATAATTGAAACTGTTTTTAAATTTAAATATTTTTTAATTAATAAGTGGAAAAATTAGAAAATAATTTTGTATTACAATTGCAGTATAAGCGACAGTTTTTGAATTATGTTTCTAGAGCTGTTTGTAAATCCATTTTTGCATAGAAGAATATGAACCAACTGAATTCCGTTAATCGCATGACTTGATCTATTGCACCAGTTATTGTTGATCAGTCGCATTTTGAAACTTAAAATTTCCATAATAAAAAATAAATATATCCAATCACTTCAAGACAAGTTGCAAACATGGGTGAAATGAAGAGTTATTACCATAATACAATTTCATTGATTAACGCAATTGCTGTAACCGAATTGACTAAAAGGAATATTTTTTATTTTTTTTACACATTTTCACAATTTCTAAACTCATCTCTCAAAACTCAAAAATTTCATATCAAAAAATAACTTATTTATAAATACATACATATATTTTCCGAACAAAAAGTACAATATTATAAAAATAATATAGTACAATTTTTAGCAATTTACAATAACTGCAAAATATTGGATCGATACTCGTTTTAAAATGATTTTACTAAATTTAAAAGCCGACTTGTAAAAGAAACCGGCTTACATTGTACTGTAAATGTAGAGTAGGATTAAAATTGAGTGAAGTATAGATTTTTTTTTGGGTATGATTAAGTCAATTTTGTAAATAAATAACAAAATTTTTATTTTAAGTATTAGTAGGTGACAAGTGATAGACCGAAATGGCTGAAATTATTAGAAAACTTATTAGTACTTCTAAAGCAGCAAAGCCTGTTGCGCCTTATAAGTATATTATATAAATATTAATTCAAAATATAAATATATTTATTTGTTATTTGCTTTATTTTTTTCTTTTATAATTGTAAAGTCAAGCTGTTGTTGTTGATCGAACAGTTTATGTATCGGGATGTTTAGGTTTAGATAAGGAAACTAAGCAATTAGTTGTTGGTGGCGCAGCAGAGCAAACCCGGCAAGCCTTACAAAATTTAATTGTTACATTAGAAGCTGCTGGATCAGGTGTTGATAAAATTATCAAAAATACAATTTTCGTTAAGGATTTAAATGATTTTGGAACTGTTAATGATGAATACAAAAAAGGTTAGATTTTACTTATCTATACATATTATTTTTTAAATATTTTTAAACCAAAAAATCAAGATTATGTTTACACATATTCATTTGATACTGAACAATTTTTTTGATAACTACATGTACACCTATTTAAATTATTAATGTACATAAACAAATATTTGTATAGTCTTTTTCAGGCATCATAATAAATTAAAAATTTATATTAATCTTATCATTAAAATTGATAGAAAGTTTTAATGGAACATGCAAAGTTCACTAATATAATCATTGTTGTTTGTATATGATTACATATATATACATACATTTATTTATATAAGTTATAAAATCCTTTATCTATACACAATTATGTTTCTAAGGTCATTAAAAATGAATTGATGCTAAACAAATTGATTTGTGTATTCTAAATATTTATTTAGTTTAAAAAATAAAATATTAAAATGTCTAATTTCAAAAACAAACAGCTCCCACAAAAAGCAATTTATTGCTTTTTAATCATATTTTAAAATTTTTAATAAATAAATTGATGTTAATATGTAGGTATATGAATAAATGTATTTATATGGCAACATAAAATTTGAAATTAAGTTTATATGTATGTTTATCTTATCTTTTAGTATTCACTTCACACTTTCCGGCACGATCATGTGTTCAAGTAGCTCGTTTACCTATGGATGCCTTGGTTGAGATCGAAAGTATTGCATTGACTGGTAAAGTGAAAACGGAAACAATATCGGATTGACTAACCGACAATGAAAGTAATAATGACAATTGCCGTTCATCAAAACTGTAAAATTTTTAAATCATAATTCAATGTGATTTAATTTTAGCCTATGCGCATAATATGTAGTCTATAATGAAGAATATTAATAAATGATAGCAAATGAAATTAAAGTTGAAAATTTGTGTTTTAATGAAGTAGTCCATAATATTATGTACATATATGTATTATGTTCATACATATATAAATTTTTGTACCTGATTTATTGTTAAATTTTATCTTAATTATCTGATTTAATATATTAGTTTTAAAATACAAAATAGGTTTAAAATAAAAAAAAATTAATTAAAAAAAAAAAAAAGTTGGAGATGCGGGGCATCGATCCCCGTACCTCTCACATGCTAAGCGAGCGCTCTACCATCTGAGCTACATCCCCATATAAAAATCTTTAGCACAATGTACTATATAAATACAAAATTATTTACAAAAATTTTATTTATACTATAAACTTTATATAACAACACCAACACATGTTTGTAAATTCGTGTTGCTTTGTATACTCGTATGTATACTTAAAAGTGTTTTTAATTTTTAAGCAGTCCAGTAATTTGTCAGATGAAGATTGTAATTCGAAGATTTCTTCTTTATACTGATATAAAAGTATTAGGTTTTTCTTAGCTTATTTCGAAAGTAATTTTATTAATTTTTAAAAGTCTGTATTTATATTATACATTTAGATTTTTGCCTCAAAAATACATACAAAAATTTTCAATTAAAGCATTAAGGAGAATATTACTGTAATTAATATTATATACATACTTATTTTTACAATTTAATATATGTATATGTAGGTTTTGTTTTTGAGACCCCTTTTCTAAAAACGCAAGATAGTAAAACAAAAGCTTATCAATTATTGTACTATTATATAGAGTAGACTATGATGTCACAAAGTATGAATCGGTTGACTTTTCTTTTAGCTTAGTGCTTAGACCTGCAGGTTTTAGTTATATCATTACATGTACAATTAGAATTGCTTAAACTGTAAAACAGTGTTTTCAAAAATGTAGAACTACAAATAGAAACTTTTTTACGTTAAAAGCTTTTCGCTATAAAAAGCTTTTCTTTAAAATTTAAATTCGTACATGTATAACGTTTACAAAGCTATATTTACTGTTAGCAAAAAGAAATAATTAATTTTCAAATTATGTAATTTATACATAAAAATTATAAATTATATTATATGTATGTCATGTATTCAATATAATTTTAAGTACAACATTGCATTCTTCATAAAATCTTTGTTATATTCAAATTCGTCAAGATAAAAGTCATCGTTATCAAAATCTCCAATAAGATCTTGTGAATTACTAAAAAATGATTTTCGAATTTCTTTAGTTTCTCCAACAATTTCTTTTTCTAAATTAATATTTTTTTTTAATGTTTCATTATCATTATGGATTGTTGTGATTTTGTTGTTTTCATCATATTCTTGATTTTTAAGTTCAGTACTATTATTTAGTTTTTTATTTTTTTCAATACTTTGAAGCCATAATGTTGCTTTCTCTTTACGAATTTTATCTGAATTCGTTTCATCTTCATTTTCATTTTCTTTCATTTTCATTGCCTTATTAACAATATCTGCAATAGAAAAATTCTTTGGTATTTGATCTTTATCATTTGTTTCATAAAGTTTATTATCAATGAATTTAAAGGTTTCTTCTTTTGCCGGTTGTTCTTCTTTCTTAATTTTAATTGGTTTATTTACTTTTGATGTGGACTCTGACATATTTATTTTAGATTTCTGGCGACTGACATTTAATTTTGTAGAATCTTTATTTTTTACTATATTAAATATTGGTCGTGGAATACTGGTTCCCAAATTTTTTCTCGTTGTTGCAGAACTTTTGTTATTATTAACATTATTAATAGGTTTGATTTTTTTCGGTGTTCGTAATTTCGCGGCAGCATTTATTTTTGCTCTTTGAGAATGATTTATAGTTATAGTTGGTTCTGTTTTTTGTTTTATATGCTCGACAGTATTTATTTTTTTTGCATCCCCTAAAGTATTATTGATTTTTGATCGATTTTTCACGGTTAAATTACCTATATCAGTTAAATTACTTTTTTGCCTTATATTTTTAATTTGTGAACGCGGATTTGCTGATCGACTAAATGGATTAACAGGAATTTTTTGTGTTTTAAGATTTTTAAAAATTTTTTCATTTATATCATCTATTTGTTTTTCATCTTCATTATTATCTTCGTTTTCATTGATTTCATTATAGTTTTCATTATCATCATCATCTCCTTTTTCCTCGTCATAAGATTGTGATGAATTAATTGAATTGATATTTTTATTTGCAGACGTTGAAGCTGGTATACGTGTTTTCAATAAATTAGGTTTTGTCCTTTCAATATTTTTCTCATTCGATATAGTTTTGGATGAAGTATTCCAACGAGGTTTAGAAATATCAGTTTGTATCGGTTTTATTATAGAATTTGGTGGTATATCTTCTTCACCAATTACAGTTTTTACACCTGTATAAACATTAAGTTCTGAAATGGTTTGCTTAGGTTTTAGCATCCATCTCGAACCTTTTTGACTTTCGATTATTTTTATTTTTGGTGTTCTTAAGAAATTATTACCAAATACTAAATAAAGTGTATGTGGTTTCTTAAACATAGTTGAATCATCGCTATAAATTGATATAGAAGATTTTCTTCTTTCTAGTTTCTTAATACCTTTACTTAAACGATCATGTTGTTTCTCCCATTTTGTAGGTTTTATTGGAATTGGAGTTGATTGTAATTTTTTTTTTAAAGTTTTTTTTTTATTTTTCCATTTTTTCAGTTTTTTACCTTTCCTACAATAGATAATAAAGAACGAACATATTAATTGAATTTTTATATTTTTATAAAAATCTTTTTATCAATTTAATTACATTTGTATTGCTAATAAAATAAAGACTTATATATATATACTTACATTATAATTGGAATATCCTTTGAAGAAGGCTAAAATATAAATTTAGTGTTACAATTCATGCAATTTCTTTAAATAATCCTTTGAACCACCATTGAAAAATATCTACATGCATTTCGAGAAAACAAAATTTAAATTTAAAATGAAAAAAAAAAAATTAATAGTGCATTATTGTTAGTTTTATTATCGAATAAAATTTTATAATAATGCTCTCAGCGGTATTGCATATAAATCTGGAAGGAATGACGAAATGAAGCAGTTTGTTGTGCCTTAATTTAATTTTCCTTTTATAATAAAAAAAATAATATCATATATAATTGTTGCCAGACTGCTTGTTGTAAATTGACATTTCTTTCAGATACAAGAGGTGAAAAAAGAGATTTCAAATATTCGTTTAACGTATACGTACATGGTTTTAGCAGAATAAACTGATGTTATAAATTAAAGGTTATTTATAAATTTTGAGTGATGCAAAATTGATCGAGAAAATATTGTTCTAGAAAAATTATTTTTAAAGTATGATCTATATATTTAAATTGTAAAATTTTTGCATTCCATTTCGGATTTCTGAAAAGAAACGCATAAACGGAAGAACGAACGAAAAGACTTAAATTGTATTGCCAGCATTCTTTTAAAAATCAATAAATTTGTTTTACATGTTATGAAATAATTATCGATTATTTTTTATATGTATGTATGTATACAACGAACGAAAATTATGCAGATGTATTGATAATACTAGTTTTAAATCAACTTCTTATATTAAATAGATTTGGAAGATTTTGAAATGTGAGATTTTCATTTAACCAAATACATAAATGTTTTTTTAACAAAAATTGATAATAATTAAATTTTATACAATAAAAAAAAATTATAATTATATTTTTATAAAAATTTATTATCAAAATAATATAAATGAATATTTTAATTACATAATATATGTACATACTTTTCAGTTTTCAATCACAATTCATTTGCTTAATATTCGTATTACATTTCTTAAATAATGCGTCTATATGAGCACGTATACAAAATATAACAATTAATTTTAACAGTATATGCATATTTAATTATTAAATAATTTTATAATTTTATTTGATATTATAGCCTATTAATTTAAAAATTAATTAATATTATTAAGAATAATGTTTTTTGTGCCATTAATTTTAAATATATTTTGAAATTTGTCAAAAATAAAAAATCTTAATTTAAAAAATAAATGTTCTAAACAAACACTATAGAATAATCTATAGATTCTAATAATTAATACAATAGATTATAATTAAATATTTATTCATTTCTGCATTGATTAATATTAATAATAAAATATATATTATTCTATTTGAAATTCAGATGAAATAAAATTTAAAATAGAAAATTTCAAAAATTCAAATTAGAGTGGGTATATAATTGTAGTGGGATGAAATATAGATTTTCTGAATATGATAAAATAAAATTTCTTATATTAAGAATTTAATAATTTATATTAAGAATCTAACACGTTAAATTTTCTTTTATATGTTTTTTGTCTAGCTCATTATAACAATATAAATTAATCTTAAAATATAGGACGTTTTTTGAAAATTCATAAAAATTTAAGAGTAAATTTCTCGAAAACCTACAGCAGTAAACTGATAACTAAATACTTGAAAGTATGAGTAATATTTTTACTCTTAAATTAGTTGTCAGTTAGAAATGCGGGCGTAAGCTTCATTGTCAACAAAATACAACTCATTTCTATTAAAGCCTCGCTAATTTTCATAGTTATTGTATATATACTTGTATAATATAAGTGGCAGTTAATCATATTTTTTAAATTAAAAATTTTGGATAAACCAATAAATTTTAATATTAGTTATAAAAAATTGTGTTTTCCTTACGTTTTTCTTCCTGATTTTCAAAAATAAAAATCATATATACGAATTTTATTTTCTGCAATATAAAGAGCATGTTAACGACTATAATCTTTAGTTTTAACGGAGGAAAAATAGATTAATATTCCAGGTTAAAAAAAAAATTATAATAAAAAATGTACGAAAATTGTGAAATGACAATTATTGTAAAAATAATTTAAAAAAATTTCATATGCACATAATATTAACTTTTTTATAATTTTATACACATTCCATTTCTTAATCTTCTTGTTTCGGATGCAATAATAAATATTATCATGCTATCATGCTGATAAAATA